AATAGCAACACTCATCGAACAGCTTCAAGTACTCACGGCGAAGCAATTCATCCTCCGTGCGCCTCACGCGCGGCCACTCACTGTGGTCGTGCAAGATTTTCAAGATGGTAACGGCATCAGCAACGGTGAGATGCCTTCGAAGAGCGAGCCACATGGCAGGACTTTCTGCCAGGTCCTGCAGAAGGCTTCTCGCTTCCTCTGGCGGCCGACAGGTTCTATCAAGGCATTTCTGCGTCGACTCAAGGGTGCGAGCATGCCAGAGACACACGTCGACGCTCCAAGATCCAGCGCGCCATTTCCTTGGGTCGATGGCTGCAGGCAACTCCTTGTTCGACATGGCAAGTAGAAGATGCGGTCAGAAAAGACACACAGGTCCAACAGGTGCGACAGCGCACCATTATGAATTACGGATGCGGCAGCGCGATCCGATGCAATGAATACGCCTGCAACGAATTCTTCGGCCTGCAATGAATTACGGATGCGGCAGCGCGATCGTGTGCAATGAATGACAACTGCTGATACGCCATCGTGCGGTCAGAAAAGACACACACGCTGGCCTGCAACGAATTCTTGGGCGTGCAATGAATCACGGATGCGGCAGTGCGATCGTGTGCAATGAATTACGGCTGCTGATACGCCATCGTGCGGTCAGAAAAGACACACACGCTGGCCCGCAACGAATTCCAAGTGCTGATGTGCCATCATGCGGTCAGAAAAGACACACACGCTGGCCTGCAACGAATTCCGGCTGGTGATGTGACCACACACGCTGACATGCAACGAAGTCCGGCTGGTGCTGTGCCTTGGTACCGTCAGAGACGTGCCAACGGATGTTAGGGTTCAAGGAGTTTAGGGTTAAACAAAATTAGGGCTAAACGGATCTTAAGGTTAAGGGATTTCGGGGTCAAGGCATCGTAGGGTTAAAGGATTTAGTGTTAAAGGATCTATGGTTAATCCACTTTGTGGTTAAGGGATTTTAGGGTTAAAAATGCCGTAGGGTTAACAGACTTTAGCGTTAAATCGTGATCGGATTATAAAGACTAGTTGACTAGTTAAAGGGATTTAGAGTTAAAAGCATCTTAGGGTCAAAGGATTTAGGGGTTAAAAGGTCTTAGGGTTCAATGGGCTTAGGAATAAAGGATTTTAGTGTTAAAGGGTTTTAGGGTTACGGACAGCTTAGGATTAAAGGATTTTCGGGTGAAAGGGATCTGAAGGTCCCATGATTTAGGGGTAAAGCCTTCTTCGGCATGCTGCGAATTACGGATGCTGCAGCGCGATCGCGTGCAATGAATTACGGCTGCTGATACGCCATCGTGCGGTCAGAAAAGACACACACACGCTGGCCCGCAACGAATTCCAAGTGCTGATGTGCCATCATGCGGTCAGAAAAGACACACACGCTGGCCTGCAACGAATGCTTCGGCATGCAGTTACTGGCCCGCAATGAATTCCAAGTGCTGATGTGCCATCATGCGGTCAGAAAAGACACACACGCTGGCCTGCAACTAATGCTTCGGCATGCAATGAATTACGGATGCGGTACTCAACCCGTACTTACCCGTGCGTTTGAAAAAAAACGCATCAGCATGCGAACTTGCTCCAGTATGGAATGGAGTTTAGGGTTAGAACAAATTAGGGCTAAACGGATCTTACGGTTAAGGGATTTCCGGGTCAAGGCATCGTAGGGTGAAAGGATTTAGTGTTAAAGGATTTGTGGTTAATCCACTTTGGGGTTACAGGATTTTAGGGTTAAAAATGTCGTAGGGTTAACGGCTTTAGCGTTAAATCGTGATCGGATTATAAAGACTAGTTAAAACGATTTAGAGTTAAAAGTATCTTAGGGTCAAAAGACTTAGGGGTTAAAAGGTCTTAGGGTTCAATGGGCTTAGGAATAAAGGATTTTAGTGTTAAAGGATTTTAGGGTTACGGACAGCTTAGGATTAAAGCATTTTAGGGTTAAAGGGATCTGAAGGTTACATGATTTAGGTGTACAGCCTTCTTCGGCATGCTGCGAACCACGGACGCTGCAGCGCGATCACGTGCAATGAATTACGGCTGCTGATACGCCATCGTGCGGTCAGAAAAGACACACACGCTGGCCCGCAACGAATGCCAAGTGCTGATGTGCCAACATGCGGTCAAAAAAGACACACACGCTGGCCTGACAGAATTCTTCGGCATGCAAGGAATTACGGATGCGGCAGCGCGATCGTGACATGAATCCAAGCTTCCAAACATAAGAACATAACCATTTTAAATACATGGATCTACCAACATAATATCACAATCCCAAGCGTTATCTTGAAAGAACTTGTTGTCTGCGGTGGATGCAATGAATGACGGCTGCTGATACGCCATCGTGCGGTCAGAAAAGACACACACGGTGGCCTGCAACGAATGCTTCGGCATGCAGTTACTGGCCCGCAACGAATTCCAAGAGCTGATGTGCCATCATGCGGTCAGAAAAGACACACACGCTGGCCTGCAACGAATGCTTCGGCATGCAATGAATTACGGATGCGGTACTCAACCCGTACTTACCCGTGAGTTTTGCCAGATAACAGACGCATCAGCATGCGAACTTGCTCCAGCATGGACTTCGAAACAACAATCAGACTTCATAAATTATCAGGTTTTGGAAAGCCTCCGATTTTGTGTGTAAACCCTGGGTATTTGAGCAATCTATCTGTCTATCTATCTGTCTATCTATCTGTCTATGTCTCTACCCATCTATTTCTCTGTTTGTCTTGGTGTCTAACTATCTGTCTATGTGTCCATGTATCTATCTGTCTGTCTCGCCATCTATCCCTCTAACTATTTCTCTATCTGTCCGTCTATCGATTTATCTATTTATCTATCGGTCTGTCTGCCCGTCTATCTATGTATCTAGCTATGTGTCTATCTATCTATCGACCTATCTATGTGTCTATCTATCTGTCTATCTATCTATCGATCTATCTATCTATCTATCGACCTATCTATCTATCTCTCTCTCCCTCTATCTATCTCTCCGTCTATCTATCTATCTCTCTATGTATCTATCTAGCTCTCCATGTATCGATCTTTGCATCTATCGATGTATCTATCTATATCTATCTGTCTATCTATCTATCTATCAATCAATCTATCTATCTCTCTCTCCATCTATCGATCTATTGTAGTTGTAGTTGTAGTTGTTGTGGTTGGTTGTTGTGGTTGGTGTTGTTGTTGTTGTTGTCGAGGTTAGGGTAGTTAAGTTAGTGAAGTTAGTTAAGTTAGTCAAGTTAGTTAAGTTAATCAGTGTCTACTTTTTCGACATCTTCACGTCAGAAAAGGCTCAAAACCCTCAGTTTTTTACACTTTTGACTTCGAAATGTGCTTCGCGCCACAACGGCGTGCACTTTTTCGACACTTTTTCCACATCGGAACCTCCAAAAGTGGTCCGAGACCGTCAGTTTTTACACTTTTGACTTGGAAATGTGCTTCGCGCCACAACGGCGTGCACTTTTTCGACATCGCAACTTCCAAAAGTCGTCCGACACTGAGGTGTTTTCTACATTTTCACTTCGAAATGTGCTTCGCGCCACAACGGCGTGCACTTTTTCGACATCGCAACCTCCAAAAGTGGTCCGAACCCCTGGTGTTTTGTACATTTTGACTTCGAAATGTGCTTCGCGCCACAACGGCGTGCACTTTTTTGACATCTCAACTTCCAAAAGTGGTCCGACGCTGAGGTGTTTTGTACATTTTGACTTGGAAATGTGCTTCGCGCCACAACGGCGTGCACTTTTTCGACATCCCAACTTCCAAAAGTGGTCCGGACCTGGTGTGTTTTGTACATTTTGACTTGGAAATGTGCTTCGCGCCACAACGGCGTGCAATTTTTCATCTCTCATCTGGCCAGCTGGCTCCGCACCCGCCGCTTTAGCGAGCCTACTTTTCGACCCTCCGGAGCCCCAAATCATTGGAAAAACAAAGTGTTTCGCGACTTTCCTACCTTTTCGCGCATCTGCATCTTCTTTCTTCTGACTCTTTCTCTTCTGATCTTCTCTCTTCTAATCTTTCTCTTCTCTCTGCCTCTTCCCTGCTCTGCTTTTCATCTGTCCATATTGTCGGAAGTTTGACTTCTAAACTTCCTTCGATCATATCCTGTCAATGTCCCTTAAGTGACAGTGCTAATGGTCTGACGGTGTTCCATGTTCCAGGTCAGGGGACGTCTTCTGGAAACGTGCCACCAGGCTCGGCTGGGTAGAACATCGTCCACAGTGGGGCAGCCTGAAACGACCGAGGAGAAGAAATAGACTTATCATTATCAACTTATCAGTGCCAACTTCACTTTGCCGCTTTACCCAAGCTTCCTCCATGGTCCAGGAAGGTGAAAGCATGGGAAGGTAAAGAGCCTCGCAAGTTCAGCAGCAATGATATAGAGATGGTCCAGAAAGAAACAAACTCTGACTACAGGATGCTATAATATGCTATAATATGCTATAGGTCTCATATTCGCATAGGCTTCAAATCTTTTTGTCATGTCTCGTTCACTGGGCCACGTCACATGGGTCTGGATCAATTATTGCCTTCCTGACTCTGTTGCAATCCTGTCCAGTATGTCCCGTGTCTGCACAAATTGTGTTCTGCGGATCTGCGATGATCTATGGAAACCAAATCTTCATATTTATATCATCGCATATAGCGCATACCGAAACCAGATCACATCATGTATCCATTTATATATTACTATTCTATATATAATAAAATGATATTTGGTATTGTACATGTCTAATATATTCTAATATATTTCATGATATTATATTTCAAATGTATTCGAATCTTTCATCCGCAGCCACTCGGTCGGGTTGCCCGCGGATGTGCACTTGTAGGTGTGTTGTGGCTGAAGGGATCAGCTCGTAAGGCCGGCTCCTGGGACGAGAGCCATCTCCGTGCTGATGGTTGTGGCTTTGAACTGTGTGGTTCACTTTGACCATTTAAACTGCTGAATGGAAAAGGATGCGCCTCATAGTGGTTCAAACAGTAGACCATCGCGTAGCAGCACAAGGAGCAGCAAGCAATGAATGCCAGGTTGTGAAATGGGTACAAAGAGCAAAAATGTAGAAGTGGAGGTAGACCTGTAGCATCGCCCGAGTCTGTGAAACAAATGACAACCAAATAAATATCAAAGTCGAAAACTGTCATAAATCCCGCAAACACGGATTTGGGGCATAGTGCGCATGTACTGAGCCCGCAAAACAGCTCAAAACTTGACGTCTTAGACTGCCCAGCTACCAGCGAAGCCGTCACCACTTTGGGATAAAGGCTAGCTGATTGCACAGATCGTACGAAGATCAAATTGAAAAGCTCAACAAGGGAACACAGGCTGAAGATATTTTCCTCAAAGCCTTCTGGAGAAGACTTTCGATAGACCAAGAAGCGCCACGCCAAGTTGCAGCTAAGGTATGCCTGGCCCATGAGTTGAATTGGCTTGGTATGTTAATATCAGCAATTACATTTATTGCAGCTTCAAATAAATATCAAAGGGTTTGCTACTACGTATATATACCTAATACGTATAGACCGTATAGACTACGAGATCTTGTAGTCTACCAAAAAAAGTAAAGCAAACGGCTAGCGAACAAACGTAATTTAGAACTTTAAAATAACAATTACATGATTACATGACTGAAATCTCCCAGGTACAAAGGACTGAATGAGGAGAAACAACATATGAGATCTGAAGAGTGGCCACATCCTTCGACCCCCTGTGCGTAGAACATCCACATGGATGCCAATCCATGGAAAGCTCCGTGCCAAGACATTCAGCGACATCCGGCTGTTGCTCATGCCGAAGTATTGTGCGGTCAGAGCAAGTGGGAACATCAGCCTGGTGAAGAGAAACAATATTCGCATGACAAGGACAGCAACAATGGAGAGGTGACAGGGCTTGGAAAACGGCAGCAACAACCCTCAATACACATCTGAACCCGTCTGAACCAACAGAACTGGCATTTCTCCAACTAGACTATGGACGAATCTAATCGAATGCATACGCAAAAATTTGGAAGCAAACAACATGTCACACGTGTAATAAGGCTTAATAAGGAAATGGTTTGAAACACTAATCACAAGGTCTCAAGCATTGAATACTGAATCTCAGAAGAGTTTGGCACAGACTCATTCTTCACAGAATCATAGTCTTTGTCCACCGAAACATATAGAAATTATGCGACAACACGCAACTTTGAAACGTTTGCAGAAGCACACATAATATTTCAGGATTTGTTTTGGATCATCACTGAAACGCCCATGCATTTGGACTGACACTTGGCAGTTCAAATGCCCAATTTGTTGGGAAGGAACACTGCGGACCCATGGACAGCAATACGGATGAAGAGCCCTGTGATTGCGGAGATTAGGCAAAAGGACAACGTCGCGCTGAGAAGAAGCCTCAATTCACGGAGTGGTCGGTGGAGAACCCGAACTTGGAGCATCTACTGAAATCCCTGTTTGGAAATAAGTTGCTTGTTGAATACTCTAGAATTGTCTGTGAAATTGTTTATGTGTATTTTAATGAGATATCGTTACATATATAAATTAATATGTATGTAAATATAAAATTGTATACGTACTGTAAATATATTCACAAATAATATAGATATATTTATTTAATCGAAGGAAGTTTAGAAGTCAAACTTCCGACAATATGGACAGATGAAAAGCAGAGCAGGGAAGAGGCAGAGAGAAGAGAAAGATTAGAAGAAAGAAGAGTAAGAAGAAAGAAGATGCAGATGCGCGAAAAGGTAGGAAAGTCGCGAAACACTTTGTTTTTCCAATGATTTGGGGCTCCGGAGGGTCAAAAAGTAGGCTCGCTAAAGCGGCGGGTGCGGAGCCAGCTGGCCAGATGTGAGATGAAAAATTGCACGCCGTTGTGGCGCGAAGCACATTTGCAAGTCAAAACGTACAAAGCACACCACGTTCGGAGTTGAGATGTCGAAAAAGTGCACGCAGTTGTGGCGCGAAGCACATTTGCAAGTCAAAATGTACAAAACACACCACGTTCGGAGCACTTTTGGAAGTTGAGATGTCGAAAAAGTGCACGCCGTTGTCGCGCGAAGCACATTTCGAACTCAAAATGTTAAAAACACCAGGGGTTTCGGACCACGTTTGGAGGTTCCGATGTGGAAAAAGTGCACGCCGTTGTGGCGCGAAGCACATTTCGAAGTCAAAATGTTTTAAAAAAAAACAGGGGTTCGGACCACTTTTGGAGGTTCAGATGTCGCTTCGCTTCGCTTCACTACACTACATGATACTACACTACACTACACTCCACTACACTACATTACACTACACTACACTCCACAACACTACAACTACAACTACACAACTACACTCCACTACACTCCACTACACTAAAAACACTACACTACATTACACTACACTACACTCCACTACACTACATTACACTACACTCCACAACACTACAACTACAAGTACACAACTACACTCCACTACACTCCACTACACTAAATTACACTACACTACAAATACAACTACACAACTACACTCCACTACGCTCCACTACACTACACTACCCTCCACTACACTTCACTACATTACTCTACACTACACTCCACTACACTACAACAACAACTACAACTACAACTACACAACCACACTCCACTACACTACACTACACTACACTAAATTACACTACACTACATTACACTACACTACACTCCACTACACTACATTACACTACACTACACTACGCTACCTTTCACTACACTTCACTACATTACACTACACTACACTCCACTACACTACAAATACAACTACACAACTACACTCCACTACACTACACTACATTACACTACATTACATTACACTACACTACGCTACCTTCCACTACACTTCACTACATTACACTACACTCCACTCCACTACACTACAAATACAACTACACGACTACACTCCACTACACTCCACTACACTCCACTACACCACATTACACTACACTACACTACATTACACTACACTCCACTACACTACATTACACTACACTACACTACCTTCCACTACACTCCACTACACTAAATTACACTACACTACACTACATTACACTACACTACATTACACTACTCTACGCTACATTCCACTACACTCCACTACACTACACTACATTACACTACACTACATTACACTGAATGACAGTGCACCACAGATAGACAGGTAGACAGATAGATAGACAGCTAGACAGATAGACAGATGAAAGAGAGAGACACGAGAGAGAGAGAGAGAGATAGATAGATAGATCGATCGATAGATAGATACATAAGATAGATAGGTAGGTAGGTAGATAGTCAGAGAAAGAGAGCGAAAGAGAGGAGACCTCAAGCACCTTTAGGTCCATCACTGGATTCGCTCTGCCATCCCTGATTCACAACAACCAACCTCTCCTATAGGTTTCCTATTTTTGAAACTTCCGCCACCGCCTTGTGCGGTACTACTGGTACATTAAAATCAGATCAGTTTAAAATATGCCGAACCTGACTTTGCAAGAATGACTTGAAGGGGAGACATCCAAGAGGCAAGGGTATACGCAGCGTTTTTATGGTGTATCTGCACAAGCTGGCTGTGAGGTCAACATTCATCAACTAGATCCTGTGCTTGGAACAAGTCACATATTTTTGCGAAAGAAGGCGAACAGAAAAGATCCTTGAAGAGGTGATTCCACCTGAAGATTCAGCGGTTCATGCAGCACCATAAACTTGTGTTTTTACAAACTGTTCTGTAACTTCGAAGGCTGTGCATAAGTGCCATGTCTTGAGATGCGGTTTCAATCATGCAAACACTAGTTGCAGATCTGCTGACTTCTGACCCAAACAAAAGTCCCAAGAAGATCCAAGCAGTGTGTTGTTTTTTCTGCCAGAGCTTCCCTGCTACCTCTAAAATACTGAGTCTGATTGAAATGCTGTTTTTTTCAAGTAGATGCTTCACGCATCATAAAACAATCAATGGAATATGGCCCGCGCTGATTCAGTTCATGGGGTCGGGCCTGCTCCTCAGTCCATGCCCATGCTTCCACCACGTTGTCTTCGTCCATTCGCTCCAAATAGCCGCGACTTCGCAGGCCGTAGGCCAGCTCGTTAATGACCTATGGCTCAAAATGCTCAAACATGAACTTCCAACACGGCAAGCGATGCATTGACTCAGTCATGGACTCAGCAGTCAAACTTGATTATCTAATTTGATAAGCTAAATGGTCGAATGATTAGCGTTTTTCTAGACCACTAGTTTGGCAATGTCCGACGAGTGGCCAGGCCGTCCCATGCATCGAAGAGATGAAAGGCGTCTGCCAAAGGACCAAAAGGTACGAGACCTGAGAATGGCCTGGTATGGTCATACCAGGAACCCAGTTCCTAAGTCAATTTATGTCATATCTTGGTAGTCTAGACTCTAGCTGATTAATCTGACAAGTGCGTTGAAAGGAAGTGACAGGAGGTCTAGTGCTGCAGTCTCACTTCGTTGGTGTTGAGGGCTGATCCGTGGTGACAGCTTTCTTCCGTGGATCGGATTGGCAAACAAACAGGAAGAACTCTCATCACAGGGAGGCCAAAACCGTTTCTTCCCAGGTCAATCCATCTAAAGCCCAAGTGCCTACCACCTGTTACCAAGGGAGAAACACAACTGCCCCCTACAGTTCCGAGCGTCAACTTGATGCAATGGAGATATTGTGCACTGGGAAGTCGTGCTTCTCAAAAACACTCTTCCTGGTCTCCAGGAATTGCAAATACAGTTGGAGTACAGTACAGCATTAAAAAACAGTTGCAAATGACTCCATGTATACGTTGAAGAGCATGACTTCAAAACGAGGATATATCAGGCAAGCGATCATGGAGTTTCTATCAAACATCTTATCATCTCAATGGCAAGTCATCCTTCTGAAGTATCATTGCCAGGCCCCATCTCTGTTTTCCTGAAAGCTTGGCCCCCTCCAGCCGCCTCATCTGTACCAGCTCCCGGTCCAGTGCGAATCTGTAGCTGCCAAAGATGCTCTTCGCATCAAAGCGACGGCCGGGGCCAACAGAGGAACGATTCCTTGGATTTTGGATGTTCTTGCATGTTTTGCCCTGACATGGTCGCATGAAATTCAGCACTAAATGATGATATATTAAAATATATTAATATGCATGCATAACACAATCATGAAAAATAAACTATTGTCAAAGCACATCTTGTATACATGATTCGACATATGTGGTCAAATTGCGAATGCTATGGCTTTTGCTTCATTCCTTCGACTTTTTGACGACATTTTATTCGTATGCTCTGGCCTACCCCAAAATCATGGTTCAACATGACCAACATGCTTCCAAAAACAATAAAACAATTCCCAGCATGTCGTAAATTTTATCTTCGTTGCAGATGTGTGGCTGAATCATTTTGTACCCTGAATGCACAGAAAAGTTGTAACATGATGTAATGATGCAACCAACAGATCCATACAGATCCTCCCTTCAAGGCCATGGTTCTCCTCTTTCACTTGAAAGCCATCACTCTTCGCCAGAGCTCCTGCAGTCGGAGCCCTGTGCTCCATCAGCGTCATGCCAATGAGACCATCTCCATTGCTCAGCGTCAAGCGAATCAGGGAGTCTTCCGGTAAGATGGGCTCTGCCACAGTGTCGTTCCAAAGACCTTGATGAGTAGATGAGTATAGATGAGTATGTAGGCTCACTAGACAATATCAATACAACCCTTCAGGAGGTATGTGAAGACAGGAGTTCTGTAGGAATTGTGCCCATTAGACACTTGTGAGTGCCATGGATTTACATGCAAGGGATCTTCAGTCTCCGGTTTCCCAACGTGATTTGAGGATATCTGAGGTGGATTGCCAAACCTTTGGACTGCACAAGATGGTTCCTGCTCTCAAGGTTGGAAACACCAACGGTAGGATCTTCAATGCCAGCAGAAAATACAAACGGATCAAAGATGATCAAAGCATTCTATGCCAGCGAGAGGCCAGCATGTCTGAAGACGTCAGGCAGGCAAGATGACCGACCAACGTAGTACCAGTGTAGTGTGGCTAGGACAACAACTTGCACTGCAATGAATGCCTTACTTGGAATAAGTTGGTTTAAGTTGGCCAATCAGTAGGAACCAAAGCACAAAGGTGCGAAGAAAGTCGCATTTCGGAATTGAATGCAAAACGACGCAGCGAACAAAAATACCGATGTTCCATTCAAGACACAGGCAGAATTGATTCAAGTTGGAGCCGGAATCGCCGCAAAGGTTCAGTCAGAAGGGCTTTCTGATGAATGCGAAACAGCGCACGTTCAAACTCCATCTCTCCATGGCGGCCAAAACAACTGGTGCATCTCACCGATAGATTCACATCTGTCTCACGGCTTAATGGTATTCGATGGTATTCTGATGTGTTGTGCACTGGGGGAGCATCTCTGACACTGTGCCACACGGAATGGCAGGTCAGGATTCTTGTTCTCCTACAGCTGTCTCTTGACATGAAAGATGTCAAAGTGGCAATGCTGACAAAAAAAACGCCTAAGGGGCGGCCAAACACTTGCTGATAGTACCTTGGTTGTTGCTGTTGAGACTCTTAAGGTGGGAAAATGCCTGGTTTCGACCTTCACATTTACACCTCATACAAGTATCACGGCCTGGCTGAACAAAGGGCTGAAGAATCAATGGAGGAGCTCCAAACAACAAAAAACAACAAACCAAATGATCCTGAGATCCAAATGCCATGTCGTCGCTCAAGTCAGTGTCACAACTCCCTAAACACATGTGCCAGCCTTCCATATAGATTCCATAATTGATCCCCACATACCCCATTGTGTTCATCTGTCACTGCCCAGAAGTAAATGCCACGTGCCGGATGCACCGCTGCTACTTGAGGATGAACTGCTGGAACTGCTTGCCTTCACTTTCGCAATTCACATCACGCTAGGAAGGGGAAAAGGCAAATCGCTGCTTTGATAAACCTTGAACACAACAAAACTCTGGATGGCAATGGTTCCGTTGTGGATCAGTCAAGAAAAAACAATACTTGGACCAGCAACACACCAAACAGAAAGGGTTTCAGAAGAACTCAACAAAAGTATATCTCTCATTTCTGATTCAGACTGTAAATTGGACAAAAAAAATATTATACATTGTTTTTGCATCAAGTCACTGCTAAACATGTGTTTTCAAAACAGATTTTGGCCACAAAGGCATCTTCGCACGGATGCTGGACTCAAGCCTCTGCTGCATCACCCGTTGGTTTGCTTTCTAGCCTCAGGAGTAACATCAAAAAGTACAAAGGAATGACCTTGACTGTTGGTCATTGAAGTAATTACACTGCAGTATCAGCACACTGATTTGTTCATCGGAACACTTACAGACAAAGGTTCGGAGTGCGGAGAACCCCCTAGAAAATAACAGGTGCACATTCAGCAAATGCACAATCAAATTAACCCAAATTCAAGAACTTCAGTTTGCCTGACTGGACAAGTCACCAACAATTTGTCCTACTTATTTTGCTGGTCCAGGCTGCGCAATCTTCAACACTTTTCTGATTCCTAGGTTCCCCGCCCTTGACCTTGGCTCTGGCTGCGGCCTTGGCTAAGCAATCCCTGGATCGCCAAATGATACATATTCAACATTTTGATTGCTGGAGTAAACGTGTAGATATTTGCTACTCCAGGGTGTCATGTGTATATGTATACATATTTGTACTCGTATATGCTCTCACATCTGTGCCTCTATTTTGGTTACATAGATTTACAAAGATTTTTTTTGCACGTAAAATTGTTTAAAATACTTAATATGCATAGACAACATATCATACACGATAAATATTTAGACAGAGGTACATTCTATGCCAAACAAACCAAACATTTGTATCCAATTCAGGCAGTTGCTGCGCCGCCGCAGCTGCCGCTCTGGGCGGCAAGTGGTTTTTTCTTCCTGGCAATGCAATCCCTGCACGGGAGTGGCATCCACCATCTTTGTTTTCAAAGACATACACAGATCCTACCCTAATATCCTAAACATCCGCGCGGGGGGTTACATGATGGTATTGTAACCCTTGAAAACCACAATCCCTCGCGCCTGTCTGCAAATATTGCATTTTGAAAAGCTGAAAAAAAGACTTCAAGATCATCATGCTGTTTTGGAGCAAATCGCATCTTACCACCCCTTTGTCGGTCAATTTGATGTTGCAAAAGCTGTTAAAACGTATCATCAAGCGCGTCTTGGAAGTTGTTTGAGAAAGATGTTGCAACGTAGCATCACGAACATTTTGGAACATACTGAGAAAGATCTTGCAACGTAGCATCAAAAGCATCTGCAAAGTTACTTGAGAAAGATGTTAAAACGCAGCATCGAGACCGTATTGGAGTTTCCTTGAGAAAGATGCTGCACTGTAGCATCAAGAGCGTCTTGGAAATTGTTAAGGAAGGTCTTGGAACGTAACATCAAGAATGTTTTGGAAATTGCCCGTCCCAACCCACCCCCATCCATGACGTAGCAAAACGTCAATGAGCAGGCACCATCCCACCCACATGACTACAGTAAAACCAAAGCAACATATTGCCCATTTTTCCCCCGGCAGCAAAAACATGTAATATACGGATATCAATGTAGATCGAGTGCCTGATGTGTTTATTGCTGATCTGTGCGCGTAAACTACAATCTTATGTGTGGATTACTGAAAACTTGCTGTCGCAAACAACAAAACCTACAAGTACCATGTAAAGAATGCCTGCGCGCATGATGCAGGGAAATCTTACTAGATTCGCGCAGATTCCTCCAACCCAATGCTGGCCCTTGTCTATAGCACCACGTTTGTTTAGCTGCAGAACATCACGCATCATCATGGCGTATAACCAGTTGCAAATCTCCAAGACTGCTCCACCGATGCTTGGAAGTTGACTAATCCAGGTGGCCTTTCCAAAAACGAGTTTCGACATCCAAGCGATTGCCTGATGTGAGTGGTCGCGTTGGATCTTTTGACTTTGTTCACGAAACACCTGTTAAATGCAAATAAATGAAGAAACCGTTCACATCCATCTGTCTACGCACGAGTTTCCTATGTGCAGGTCTATAGGGTCTATATAAGGCTAAACACATCGTCTTTCCCCGTCGGCGAGGACGTCCGGATGAGCTGAAAACATGGTGAGAACGAGACATGTTGCAATGTCGTTATCTGGGTGGTTGGTCTATATGGGACCAAATAGCAGCGGACCTGTGCAGCTGTCTTACGCATCAGCATCAGCATCATCATCATCATCATCATCATCATCATCATCATCACCAGCACCAGCACCATCAGCATCAGCATCATCATCAGCATCAGCATCATCAATCTCCAACATCTAACATCATCAACTGAACCTAAAAATGTGAGCATTGCAACAGGATAAGCCCAATGAGACTCATTCTTTGCCACTTGATGGGCTTATAGTTGTCATCCCGCCGCTTCCTTTTCCTCTTACTTGAATACAAAGTTTATCGGGGGTAGGCGGTAGGAGCTTTTATTCCTAAAGCGCTTCTTGGTCTTCCCACTTGAATCGAATGAAACTTTGCATGTGGGTGAAAGTTTATATTGCTAATACCCCTCTTGATCTTCCCAAGTGAAGTTAAAGTTTCACGGGGGTGGGAGTCTGTATTGCTAAAGCGCTTCTTGTTCTTCTCAAGTGAAAGTAAAGTTTGATGGAGGTGGGCATTTGTATTCCTAATACCTTCTTGACCTTGCCAGTTGAATGGTCATGTTAGTAGGCTATGTAATACCCTTCTTGACCTTGCGAATTTGAATGTTCACAGGGTGTCAGGGCGACAAGGGGTGCCTGGGCGTATATATACATATATATATATATATTATATATATATAGAAAGAAAGAAAGAAAGAACGAAAGAAAGAAAGAACGAAAGATAGATAGATAGATAGATAGATACGTTGATGATCATATAAATACGAAGAATGTGATGTATGCAAACAAAGTATATATACATATATATTTATACCGAAGGAAGTTTAGAAGTCAAACTTCCGACAATATGGACAGATGAAAAGCAGAGCAGGGCAGAGGCAGAGAGAAGAATAAGATTAAAAGAGAGAAGAGTAGAAGAGAAAGAGTCAGAAGAAAGAAGATGCAGATGCGCGAAAAGGTAGGAAAGTCGCGAAACATTGTGTTTTTCCAATGATTTGAGCCTCCGGAGGGTCGAAAAGTAAGCTCGCTAAAGCGGCGGGTGCGGAGCCAACTGGCCAGATGAGAGATGAAGAATTGCACGCCGTTGTAGCTAAAAACACTTCACGTTCGGACCACTTTCGGAAGTTGAGATGTCGAAAAAGTGCACGCCATTGTGGCGCGAAGCACATTTCGAAGTCAAAATGTACAAAGCACACCAGGTTCGGACCACTTTTGGAAGTTGAGATGTCGAAAAAGTGCACGCCGTTGTGGCGCGAAGCACATTTCGAAGTCAAAATGTTAAAAACACCACATGTTCGCGCCACTTTTGGACGCTCAGATGTCGTTCCGCGTGGCAGGTGCAAGGGATTGTCGATCTTGTGAAAAGTGAGCAAAACGTGACGGTTTTGTACTATTTTCAACTACAACCACCACTACACCACACTACACTCCAATACACTACGCAACAACTACAACGACACCTTCACTACATTCCACTACACTACACTGCATTACACTCCACTACACTACACTACACACAATTACACTAATTACAAATTACACTACAATACACTACACTACACTACACTAAACTCTATTACACTACACTACACTGCATAACACTACACTACACTCCACTACACGACATTGCGCTACACTACACTACACTCCACTACACTACACGACATTGCACTACACTACACTATACTGCATTCCACTACACTGGACTACATTACACTACACTACACTCCACTACACGACATTGCGCTACACTACACTACACTACACTGCACTACACTACACTACACTCAATTACACTACACTACACTACATGACACTACACTACACTCCACTACACTACACGACATTGCACTACACTACACTATACTGCATTCCACTACACTGGACTACATTACACTACACTACACTCCACTACACTACAGTGGAACTACACTAGACTACATTTCCACTACACTACACTACACTCCATTACAGTCCAGTACACTACACTACATTAAACTACACTACACTACACTACACTACATTCCACTACACTACACTGCACTAACTACACTAACTCCACTAACTACAACTACAACTACAACTACAATAACTACAACTACACTAGACTGATTGCATTACACTACACTACACTACATTACACTACACTACACTAATTGCATTACACTACACTGCACTACACCATACCACACTACACTCAGTTACACTACCCTACCCTACCCTACCCCACATTGCATTACATTGCATTACATTACATTACATTACACTACACTCATTACACCACCACAAATGCAACTGCAACTACACTACACTAATTGCACTACAGAATAATGACAACTCCACTACACTACAACTACAGCTACAGCTGCACTACACCACACTACATCCAGCAGTTTTGGGTGAGGTGACCGACCAGGTGGCCACTGCAACCATTGCAGCCACTCCAAAAAACACAGCTCCAACCACCTTTCGGTCCATCAGTGGATTCGCTCTGCCATCCGTGATTCACAACAACCAATCTCTCCTATAGGTTTCCTATTTTTGAAACTTCCGCCACCGCCTTGTGCGGTACTACTGGTAACATAATATAATATATATATATACACATATATGTATATCATATTGACAACATAATGTAAATATATATTGATAAACACATAAACATTTATATGTATATACATATGTGTAGTTATAATCATATATTTGACAATACTATACAAAATTTCGCAATATACAGTATCATAAAATATTGATGATATATATACACCCATACGCCCAAGTCCTTGCAATGTTTGCGTTTGACAGCTATTCCCAATCAAAACGCTCGCCACGACCCCTGTCCCGGCACAGACCTTGCAAAACCCCTTTCCCCATTGGAAACGCTAGCTTTAACAAGCCTTGACCAAACTATCATGGTTCTATTATGTTCTATTCGTTTTTGATCGAATCCCATCGGAACGCCGGTTTCCAACGGGCCTTTTTTCGTGGGCACTGTTGACGCCCACAAACAAAAACGCGAAGCAGGCCCTTTTCCTAGTTTGTATACTGCAGGATGGGTTCTGATAAAGGAAAAAAACGAGGTCCAAAACGAGGTCAAAACGAGGTACGGAAAAAGCCCCGCATCTACACACATGGACTTTGGCCCGCAAGCCGCAAACCTGCCCTTCCTTGGATCACTGGTAGCGAAACAATGACAATTTGCAGAATCCCAGCACACCGCCATGGCAGTGTAGAGATGATAATCCCAGCGTTGGGTAGAAGTACCCGGAAACAGCAACAGCAGCAGCCGTCGAACCAGCAGCCGCAGCAACAGCAAGACGCCAGTAGCTGCAGAACCCAACAGCAACCATCCCAAACACAATGAGAACGCAACTAGCAAGATTAAAGCACTATGCTAATAGTGAAACAACGCTACCCCAAACACAACCTAAACGCCGCTTCGCCACTTTAGGTCAACATGAGATAGTAAAACAGCAACCTACCCTAAACACAAGCTAAACGCCGCATCGCCACGACTTCCACAAAAGCCTTCCCCCAAGCTAATTTCAAGATTTTTGGGATTTCGCCACGACTTGGGCAGTTGGGAGTATATATATATATAGACACGCATGTGTTCACACCTGGAAATTAGCATTTACTGCGGAGAATGATGACAAGCCACTAGATCTATTCGGACAAAGCGATATTTCTCCTTTCTGACCATCCCAATGGAACCCTTCCACCTCATCACTGGATGATGAGCCACTGGACTCCTTCGCGGTTGGGGGTTGTGGCTGCATGAGTGCTTTGCAGGTGGGTTGAGATATCATGCGAATGATCTTGTGTCAATATAAACTGTGTACAATCAAGTGATATGAATTATGACCGTGATCCAAAATGCCATCCACAATGGGATTAGCTGCTGTGATGTGTGACAGTATCAGGTGCAGAGTGGAGCTCCGTCCACTGACTTAGAAACAACTACTCTCGAGGACAGGAATGAATAAAATTGGAGAGGTCCAAAGGAATTGGAGACTGCTCCGGTTTCTGCTTTTCACGGTGAACTGTGGGAAAACATAGAGACCAGCAACCATCATAAAATGCGTTACACCTGCTGAAAAATAAACGGCTTCGTTCCAAAATCGCAACGTGTGTCATCAAATCAGCAAGACCCCAAAAGTGACCCTCTCAGGCCAAACTCAGCAAATAATGCAATGTAGTCGTAAGTTGCATGGAGATCTCCCAACACCCCCGCTGTTACTCTTCCATCTTTCGGGATTCCCGAACTAATGAGAATTTATGGAATATTTATGGAGGTTAACCGATTAACCCCTATGAATGGAGGGATGACCACCCCCTTTCCATGGGAAAATCCATGGTGGCTGTCCTTGGTGCCTGGCATTGGCACCACATCAACGAAGCCCAGGAACCAGCGATCGCCGAGACCCGATGTGGACAGTTCCTGGTGCTGAAGAGAGTACTACACAAATTGATACAAATTGTAGATGCCACGACATACTAGGGAATACTGGAAGTTTAATGTATCATTCTCCAAGCTGTTACCCATCTATCCCTTTGAGGTCCGATGTTTTTACAATCGTTGAACATCGCGGGCATGCTGTGGGAGCGGATGTGATGTGGAGGTGTTTACCATCACCCACAAAACAAGTCTCTGAATTCTGAATGATCCAAGCAGCCGAAACCATTTAGCTGGGAGAGACTCACATGGACGTTATCACATCACTACCATCTTGTGATTAAATGTTGGTAAATAAAAGGCCATGTGGGGGGATACTTGGAGATGCATTGATGTCTGGGCACAAAGACCAAGTTGTAATGGTGTTGATGAAGAGTCAACCAGGCGAGCCAATCTTCTATCATCACCCGCAGCATGGTCGCTCATGTTCAAGTGTGGAGAATGAGCCATGTTTCCACTCGAAAGGAAGCACTGTATAAGGCAATGGACTCACTGATCTGAATGAGGACTACGAGTCTACAAGGGGCACTGAATCAACCAGGAACAAAATGCAGGTGGATACTTATTTCCCACATCTCCAGAAGGATATTCTGACAAATTCTGACATAGTGTTAAAATCATGTTAGATAAAATGTGGAGGCCCAACTTCTAAGCTTTGCCTTCACTTCTTTTCCAACAGCGGTGCTTGTCGGGCGCGCAGCCCGATGTCATGGGCAAATTCGCCAATGTCCTGCTCCAGGTCGACCACGGAAGACGCGAATGAATTCATCATCCGGCCGCTACTGGAACTAGGCCTCAGCTTCCTCAAAACATCTGACATCTGTTCCAGCGCTCTTGCTGGCAGCTACATCAAAGGTCAAAGCACAATCGAAATAGCGAGATCTGCAGGAGCATGGAGCGTCTCTAGTCCATATCGCTGAAAATGTTGTGCACATGCGGCATTTCTTATCATGGCATCTCTTGCATATGTTGAGAGTTGAAAAGGCTGCCAAATATCAAGAGTGGCTCTTTGACTTGTAGCTTGGCACAACTGAAGCTAGAAGGAAAGCTTGGACAGCTTTCCTAGTGACACGAACAGCTTGCCTGGCCGCTTGTCTGTTTCATTTGCTGAGCAGACTTGGAAGATCCAGGAACTGACTGACTTCGAGCTCACATCATGAGAAAAGTTGGTTCTGTCTTCGCAAACCAGTTCCAGGACAAACAGTCCCAGGTCGGAATCCACATTTGGCTAATATACTGTCTGTGCAAATGTACTCTTTGGGGGGGGTGACGAAATATCCTAACAAATAAAGCATGTGATGATGTGAAGATCTCTGGGTATGGTCATGCTCTTGTGAAAACATGCTAGTGATGCAAGTAACTCCTGTATCTTGGAGACGAATCTTCCACTTCTTTTCATTGACATTCCCTGCCAGCACAACTCAAGGATACTCAAGGGAATTCTTTGGCACTATTGCAAGCTAGGATGTGCTGGAAACAGCTCGAAGCATTCCACAGACATATCGTTTCACGCTCAGATTCTTGTCAGGGCTGACTTTTGATTTTTTATTTGCTCTTAGAGGTTCATCTGACATGATAAATATCAATGCCACTATATCAGGAGCCTTCCTTGCACAGATTGTGCGAATTGCAACGCGCATACAGTACCAGCTGAGCTTCAAAAACAATGGATTTTCAAACTACAGTGATGATAGAGTGATGACATATAACATAGCCAGTATTGTTCCTATCTTTGTTCTCAGTAACAGCTTCGAACGGTTTGAAAAGTCTGTCAGGCGATACACAACCGCTCAGGGAACTATGCAGCCACTGGTCTGCGATCAAGCTCTTCATCTTGGCGCAAGCGCTTCTGCTCCTGTCAGGGAGGCAAACATGTGCATCGCCGCTGGATGCTTTTAGAATCTTCGAAACGGTATGACCAACAAAACAATGTTCTGATGGCCTCACTGACTCCCCAATATGATAGGGTCTGAACAGGATCTGATAAGTTTTTCATGGAATGCCCAATGTTTTGCAAGGTTGTTTCCCTGCCAACATGTCTCCTGCATGACTTCGATGTCTCCAGTGCTCATCTTGGCCATCCTCAGATAACAAGCAAACCCAGTGCAAAGTGAAACAATTCTGATCCGTCTTCCAAGCGTTGCCCTTATGCCATCCATCCTCAACTCTACCAAGACCATCCACTTACGGTATGTTTTTTCCTTGATGTAAGATCATTTTGTATCATTGCATGCGTCCTCAATTGTCCTCTGACGAACCTTTGGCATTGCCGTGCGGTGCTTCCATGTTGTCGAGTCACGCTTCCTTCTGGTTGTATGCGTCTTCTTCTTCCTTCTGTCTCTGCAAAACCTCCGACAGGGGACTGGCCTCCTCCACATTCCAGCCTGGTTGCTGCCAAAGCGGAAACAAAAATGCCACAAAAAGTAAGCAACATATAAAAATGTATGTATAAATATGTAACTATAAATAAAAATTATATATATATATATAAAAGCAAGTGAGCTGTTGATTCTTGAACTATTTCATCTGAAGAACAATGAACATCAATGAACTATGTTTCCTTGGAGGATGCAAGTGGTTCAAGAATGACCAACACACGGTTCACCAAGCTAAACATTTGTTTTCAATGAGAGTGGATAAAAGAGGGGTCAGGACGTGATTCTGGCAGACGAACATCACCACAATTCCAGCAGTTTTTCTTCGTCCTCACACCCTCATCACGTCATAGCGTCACATCACAAGCATCTCAAGAGTCACAAGCTCATAAGCGCCACAAGCGTGAAAAGCGTGAACGGTGTCAAACGCGTCATAAGCATCAAACACATCATTAATCCGGCAGTCAGAGTCATAAGCATCACAAGTGCTATCATATCATGTGTCTGCACATGTGCCATCATAAGTGTCATCACAAGTGCCGTCACGAGTGCCAGCAAACGTTTCGTCACAAGTATCCTCATAAGTATCCTCATAAGTATCATAGTCGTCATCGTCATCGTCATCGACATCGTCACCATCCCCATCCCCATCACCATCACCATCACCATCACCATCATCATCATCATCATCATCATCATCCCCATCACCATCACCATCACCATCATCATCATCATCATCATCATCATCATCACCATCACGATCATAATCACCATCATCATCATCATCATCATCATCATCATCACCATCCTCATCCTCATCCACATCCTCATCACCACAATTCTCATCACCCTCACTGTTGTCATCGTCCACCCTCTGTTTTAGAATTCATAATTAATTTAAATGCTTCTCTATTTCTTGCAGGTTTCCGATGGATCTCATAGCAGACCTTCGCAAAAAGCTTGGCACATGACAGCAACAACCACTGGACTCCGGTACGACCAAGGACAGAAAGTAGAGCCGTGACCATCGGTCACGACAGCAATGGATCATTCATGCAACCAGAACACATTGGTGTTGTGGAAGGCGATGTGCACGGAAGAAGGCTTCTAGACCCCATTCAGGCCAAGGATAGACCCTGTTCCAGAGGCAATGTTTGTCGCCATCGCCCCACCTGGGTCGCGAGCCAACACAGAACTATAGAGCTAGAATGGCAAGAGGTCTGAACACGTTTGAACGCACTGCTTGTTTCTCTGCGATGTAACAGTCACTCCTGATCACCAGCATGACACTAGGATCACTAGAATTATAGAACCACAGCAACACCCTCAAGTTTCAAATCCAACCCTCCTGGAGCTGTACCAGTTGAAATGCCGCCAAACACCCGACAACGTCAATGCAGAATTCATGAAACTGTTGCTTTCACCTGACAACCTGTTTTCCCCAAAAATTCATGGTGGCCAAAAGATACCAAACAACTGAAATTCTGATGCATCATGAGGCATCTAGAGTACAAACAGGTCACACAAGTTACAGAGAGCGAGCAAACGTGCATCATTTTGATTTTCCAGATGTCAGCCAATTGCAGCCACTTGCAGCCACTTGCTCGGTCAGCCACATGCAGCCACTTGCAGCCACTTGCAGCCACTTGCCCCGTCAGCCACTTGCAGCCACTTGCAGCCACTTGGCAGCCACTTGGCAGAAACCTTGCTCCAGTGGCTGCAGCAAGTGGCTGCCAAGTGGCTGCAAGTGGCTGCAAGTGGCTGCAAGTGGCTGCCAAGTGGCCGCCAAGTGGCCGCCAAGTGGCCGCCAAGTGACTGCTGAGTGCCATCTTGAAAAAAAAATGATTTTGTAGATTCTACTTTTTTTCAAGTTTGCAGCAAGTGGCTGCCAAACGGCTGGCACATGGCTGCTTGAGCAAGTGGCTGCCAAGTGGCTGACGGGGCAAGTGGCTGCCAAGTGGCTGCAAGTGGTTGCAAATGGCTGCAAGTGGCTGCCAAGTGCTATCTTGAAAAAAAAGTAAATTTGTAGATTTTGCTTTTTTTTCAAGTTTACAGCAAGTGGCTGCCGTTTGGCACTGCAGCCACTTGCAGCCACTGCAGCCACTTGCAGCCACTTGCAACCACTTGCAGCCACTTGGCAGCCACTTGGCAGCCACTTGCCCCGTCAGCCGGTTGGCAGCCACTTGCAGCCACTTGCAGCCACTTGCCCCGTCAGCCATTTGCAGCCCCTTGCAGCCACTTGCAGCCACTTGCCCCGTCAGCCACTTGCAGCCGCTTGGCAGCCACTTGCAGCCACTTGCAGCCACTTGCAGCCACTTGCAGCCACTTGGCAGCCACTTGTCAGCCACTTGCAACCCCTTGCAGCCACTTGGCAGCCACTTGCCCGCAGCCACTTGCAGCCACTTGCAGCCACTTGCAGCCACTTGCAGCCACTTGCAGCCACTTGCAGCCACTTGCCCCGTCAGCCGCTTGGCAGCCACTTGCAGCCACTTGCAGCCACTTGCAGCCCTTTGCAGCCACTTGGCAGCCACTTGCAGCCGCTGTCAGCCACTTGCAGCCACTTGCCCCGTCAGCCACTTGCAGCCACTTGCAGCCACTTGCAGCCACTTGGCAGCCAGACATTTGCTCCAGTGGCTGCAGCAAGTGGCTGCCAAGTGGCTGCAAGTGGCTGCAAGTGGCTGATGGGGCAAGTGGCTGCAAGTGGCTGACATCTCGAAAATCAAATTGCGCACCTCCTGCGCCCACAATGATAACTTAAGCACAAGTCAGACAGTGTGAAATCGGGCAGGTAGGCACACTGTGTGCTTATACTTTGGCAGCAATTCATTGTGGCAAAAAGATTAAGATATACTTACGTGCACACACACACACTGGCAATCAAAAACAAACAGCAAAAACTGACACACTCACAAACATAAACGACCCTAAGACACACAGACATACATAGACATAGACACACACACACACACTTGCAAAAGTCCAAGCTACAAACCAAACCAGAAACCCAGCGATGGTACATAGAGTCAAGAGTCAACAGAGCAATCAATCCCACAAGATCCCAGAGGCAAAACAAAATTCCCCAAGATCTGAGACTGTCGAGCCAAGATTCCCATCGTAGTAGGCCCAATCCTTCAATGGACCTTTGGCCTCCCAAAGTTCCCATGCTGGGCCTCAAAGCTGCGCAACCGGAACAACGACACGACGTTCTGCGACAGCTGATGTGTTGCCATGCGTGGCCAAGGCGCGGTCTCCACGTGGCCACTGCCGGATGCTGACCTCTACTCTGCGATCAATCTCCATGCCACGCAAAGTCCTTGGAAGCCAACTTTCGCCATCGTTCATCTCTGTATCCACCTATAATGGACCTGAAATTCATCAATCTTAGAATATTCATGTGTTCTTATCCGCTCATCTCTCCCTTCAGCTAAGACATTGTTGGACGTTCTCCACTGCCTAGGTGAATTGTCTCCACAAATAGCATCTGTGTGTGAAATCCTACAAGTATAGCATAGTAGTGGATCATATGTCCGGCCGCACAAGGGCCAACAATCCATAGAAGCGTCATTAAAAGGAACGTTCATCTCCAACTTTGTCCCTGCCAAGAGATGCCAGGATGACAGATGTCTTGCATAAGCACAAGACAACAAACATAACAAACATGTCATGAACTTTCATGGAAGAATATTCCTTGCTACGTCTTGCTACCAAGACTCCTTGCCTCTGTGGCACTTTCCGGATATTCCTTCAAAAGCCACTCGAGGTCATTGACAGGACTGCCACCATATCCTGAATCTGGAGTGTACAATCCAACAAAAATGCCAAACTCGGCCAAGCTGTTTTGCTGTGAGGAACAGGATGACATCACCATAGATTCTGCTGTTTTTAATATCTACATAGAATATATATATATATATATGTATACCTTGACGTTGCAACTTCGATCCTGCAGCATCAGCATTCTTTTTCTGCGTCCTAGAGACGGTCAGCATCAATCTGATAGGCTCGCAGCGGCAAAGTGGAGAGGTGCCGCAGGACTTCAGGCAGCGGGCTGGAGCTGCTCCTGTCGCGGGCAGCTGAGGCGGTCCATGGATGACATCTTATATACGTACATAATTACATACTAAAAGGATCTGAAACGTATACAGCAGTGCTAAAAATTCACAATTCATATGAATATGATATATATATATATATCTGTAATTATATCCCCAGAGGTTTATCATGTGACCAACCCTTTAGGGCTTGTTTAGGGTTTGTTTAAGTTTAGGGTTTCATTTATACAGGTTTTTGTTGTTTGTTTGCTTAAACCACGGTTTTAACAAGATTTTACTTTCAAGGCCTAATTCGGGTTTTAGGGTTTAGGATATAGGGTTTTGTGTTTTGGAAACAAATCTCGTCAGCCATTTGGGCAACCGACATCCCAAAATGCATCAAAACACGCTTCCCCAGGCAGCACCCCATCGCCGTAATTATATACACATTTTTTGACATCCCATCAAAATCCATAGTGAGAGAATGTGAAAGGGATGGATTTCAGCTGCTCTTGGCATTTCCATTGCAGAATTCATGGCATCAAAAGAGGTGTGATCCAAGGCTCCAAACGCTCGCGTCCTTGGCCAAGCACCGTGGGGCCAGTGACAAACACCTGACACGGGTGCCACACCCGCCAGGAACTGGCCTCAGAGATGACAGTTGTGACAGAATCCAAATATGATGAACTATAGTCCAATATTGGGGATGGTTACGATTGAAGTATTGGGTGCTATAAACTATGAACCGCTCCCAAATGGTAGTTGTTTATTGGAATCCTTGCATGTCGGTCAAATCAATTATTACCAATTATACGAAAATATATAGTATATAAATGTCTATATATATAATCTAATCATTCAATTGCAAACATGTCTTGCAAACTCAACACATTGTTGAGAAAGAAGTCTGGGTTTGGACCTGGACCCAGGCACCATATCGAAGGGCCAGATGCCACGATCCGCTCGCTCCAAGGGAAAGCCCGGTGACGTAGAGCCGGCTGGGATCCACCTCTGCCAGCTGGATTTGATGAACCCCCAGCAAGAACCATCTTTCTACATGAGAAATCATGAGAATCTGTTCGTCAATGCAAAACGCCAACTGACATAGTGGAGAGGTCCATTTTAGCAAGTTTGCCCCTTTATGTGTTGTTACAATCATGATTCTTGGAAATCATCAAAGCATCTGGGCACCTTGTCCTTTCCAAGGCGTCGCAAGATCTCTGTGAACATCGCCCAAATGCCATCCTCGCACCAGGTCCAGCGCCACTTCTCCTTGGGCTCAAAGCCACGCATCCCTTCATCCGAATCTTTGGATATTGGCATGCCAGTATCGATTGAAACGTTGGTTAGAGACATCTTACCTCTTGAATTGTCCACATCATATATACATCATGGCCATGGAAAAACAATCGTATTTCAGCGTGAAATAAGGTTAAGTGGAAAGCACACAAACAAACGCTTCAACAACTCTGTTTTGCTGAAATCCTAGAGGCATTTTTGCGCATGACCCCAGTAGCTGACAAAGGCTTGGGTGCCATGATCCAGTAGCCCTTGAGGTCGTTGTTTCGCATCAGTTGGTCGATTCCCCCGGAGAAGAAATCTTGCCGATCATTGACGTGACCGTTGCCCGTCAGGAACAATAAGACCTCGGAGGCATGCAAACGCAGGCAGCGCCAATTACACAAACAAAACAGTGAAAGATTGAAGAAAGACTCAACAATTGGGTTTCTCTGTTTTGCCACTGAAATGAAGAATTAATTATTATAAACCCCTGGATTTTAGGGGTACCATATTTTCAGACAACCCTACATGATTTTGACCAAAATGGCGTTAAAATTGATGTTCATCCAATAAAGATCAATAAAGATGATCCCACACATTCACCTCCCCCAAGTGGTCGAGTCATGGTCGAGTCGAGGAGCTGGGCGTGGTCCTTGTCCACAGCTGGGTGGCACCACCAAACATTTGGCATCTTCTTGAGCCACTGTGTCGCATTTCACGCATTCCCAGTAGCAGCGGGCCAAATCCTTCGGCTTCGGCTTGGGTCCAACTCTGTCCAACACTTCACAAGGCTTTCTCAGCTGATTCACTTTTTGGTCCATTGTGCTGCTGGAACAAACTCTCCACTTGGGTCAAGTTCAAAAACACGTGTTCTATATAAATATATTTGAGTTGTTTCCGTGGTTTTGCCTATGCTTTGTGAAACTCTAGCAACACAGCACATCTTGCCATGGCATTTAGACTCTAGACTATCATGATGCAAGGAAAGTCGGACTAGGACACACCTGTGGTGGTTCCTGTCTTTTCCTTCTCTATCCACATATCCAATATTATCAAAATAAAGCAAGAGGACCTTGAATTATGTGGTAGCAATAGGAGTGGGGTTCAAACATCAAAACAACAGAATATTTGGAAGCATGATCACACTTCTTTGCAACCAACCAGTGAGAAACACCTCTAAAAAGGAGTGGTGCCCAAGCATCCCATTGGATGGACTTTGTTCCAGTCCACAGTGTCACTGACGATTCAATAGGTTCAGGAGTCCTCCCTAAAAAGAAGCAAGACCTGCCCCGCCTGCTTTGTAAGCCGGGAACAGTGAGCGTCATGGTGCTGGATTGAACAAGCGATACCATCCTTGCCACATTTCTCGCAACACTTCTCCCATTTGTCCTCGAAGGAGGCAGCTTTTCCGCAACGATTCTGACTCGTTCTCGATTGCACAGGGATAGATTGAGGAATGATTTTCAATGAAGTATCAACATGTTTTCTCTTGAACTTGGAAGTACAGGTTTTCCAGAGATTCGTTGCCAGTCCTTGTTCTTTTCTGCCCGGAAATCGCAATTGATGCACTTCTTCCAAGGTTGGATGTCAGAGTCCACAGCATTCATGGCAGTCAGCAAGCTGCGCTGAAATAGGTCGATTTCCACTGAACTGCTCTCCATGTCCCGCTCTAGCCAATGCCAGCCATAGATCGTGTGATTGTGACCGGGCTTGGCCAACTCAAAAAAAATTGAGGATACACAACAAAACCAAAGGCGAAAAAAAACACGTGCAAGGAACAAAAATCGCAAAACCCATGTGGACTGCAAGAAGAAGAGCAATAAAACACAAAAAAAACACACCAGGCAGGAAAAACGCATGTGCCATGGTCAAAATAGCGTGGTTTATGGTCATGCAGTTATCAATATCATGGGTATATAAACTCTGGGAAACAACCAATGTTTTGTCTGAGGCACACCTAAAACACAAAAATGAAATATCTATTCGAGTGTTTCTTGTGCCATTTGTTTGCTGTTTTGCTTGCTGTTTTGTCTGTTGTTTTGTTTGCTGTTTTGTTTGTTTTTGTTTCGCATTTTTTCTATTGTTTCGTTGTTGTTTTTTCAACTATGATTTTGTTTGTTTTTCTCCATCATTTTCCGTTTTTCCCGCAGGGCTTGCACTTTGGAATATCCTGATCACTTGCTTGTTTGCTTTCTTTCTTTTTCCCCACCTGCCAGGTGAGGGTTGTTAGACCGTTCGATTTTATCAGAGCTGTTCTCCTCATCCTCCTCCTCCTCCTCCTTCTCCTCCTCCTCCTCCTCTTCCTCCTCCTCCAGTTTCTCCTCGACCATGTCTACATCAACTTCCACGTCCACTTCCGCCTTGCCAACTTGTCGCCAATCTCTTCGCCAGCTTCCGCGCGCAGTGGGCGCTGCTGGACCTCAACTGCTGGCTGCCGATCTGAGTGGGCACCGCTGGACCTCAACCTGGGACCTTCCGAGCTCAGTGGGCACCGCTGGACCTCAGCGGCCAGATAGAATGCCAGAAGATATGCCAGATAGAACGCCAGATAGAATGCCAGAAGATTTGCCAGATAGAATGCCAGAAGATATGCCAGAAGGCATGCCAGATAGAATGCCAAAAGATATGCCAGATAGAATGCCAGATAGAATGCCAGATAGAATGCCAGAAGATTTGCCAGATAGAATGCCAGAAGATATGCCAGAAGATATGCCAGAAGGTATGCCAGATAGAATGCCAAAAGATATGCCAGATAGAATGCCAGAAGGTATGCCAGATAGAATGCCAGAAGGTATGCCAGAAGATATGCCAGAAGATATGCCAGATAGAATGCCAGAAGATATGCCAGAACATATGCCAGAAGATATGCCAGAACATATGCCAGAAGCTATGCCAGGTAGAATGCCAGAAGATATGCCAGATAGAATGCCAGATCGAATGCCAGAAGATATGTCAGATAGAATGCCAGAAGATTTGCCAGTAACAAATCGATAAATGTCATGGTGGGGATCACAGTAAAGTAATTAGATTTAGTTCTTGATTTTGTTCCACTTGTCATTCTAATTCGGTTTGCTTCATTGGTGCCTTTTTTGTTTGCTGCTTTCTGCATTTGGTTTTGCAGGTCTTGCTGGTCTTGTCTGTTTGTTTACAAATATAAGCTTGTTTCTTGTCTTCTGTTGTGCATTGGTTTTAGCCTTAGCTTAAAAAACATACTCAGAAGCAGGCCGAAGGCACTTCACAATACTATGATGTCAGTCTTCATTTCAAGCATCAACACTTTGAACTATTCAAGCAGCCATCAGGTTCACAATGTAGTTCAAGATAGCTCTATTTGTATCTATTGTAGTCTATTTCTGCCAGGCAAAGCAAATCTGAATATCTACAGTGGAGGCGTGTTGGAAGCATATCTTTTTGCTCAAATCTATTGGAAGCGCCAGGACAAGTCTGCTGGAACGTCAGCAGAAAACACTTGCCCCAAGGGTGTCAAAGGGCTCCATTCTGCGCTTGCGGCATCTTGCTGACCATTCGTAGCACTTGGGAAAAATCGAAACATTCTGCAACATGGGGAAACAAAGTGAATGGAAACAATTCCAGATCCACTAAGAAAAAATTACGTTCGGGCCAAATCACATCTGTCCATGCTGAGAATGGTAGTCAAGAACAAATGCAGAGGGCCGAAAGCAAAGTCAACAGAAAACAGCAATTCACGAATCATTGGAGTGCTTTGATGGCATCCTCCATGGGCACGTAGGTGAGAATACCCTGAGCACCGAGAGGACTTGGTGTCATTCTCTTCACCAGTGACATCTTTTCAGCTATTTGCAGTCGTCTATAGCAAGCTATCCAAGGCAACACATAGTTCCACGGCGCCACCGGGTAAACAAATCGTTGGAAAGCTTCCGGGTGGACAACAATCTAGGCACATCTGGTCTGTGGATTTCTGTGATATTTAGGGTGGAAGCCTGTTACCCTGCCTTGTCTCGGTAGTAGTAGTTCACTTCCCCCTTCTTGGTTGTCACAACTCCTCCTGGGAGAAATTTAGAGGAAACATAGCTGGAAACATAGCTGGACACTGGAGGGATGATCAGGCATTTGGCGAATCTCCTTGTTGCACCAGAAGCTCGCTATCTTCAGGTGCCAAATCACTCCAATTGGCAATAATGCCTGTGGCGAACAATGGGTACTATGGCTACATATGGCTACTATGCTCCACTTGATGGATGTGAGCCCCAACGACATTCACCAAGAAAATGAAGCAGTCGCCAAGTGGTTCCTTCCATATTCAGTCATATTCGCAGTCTTTGTATCAATGGCATGACAGAATACGATGTCAGAAAACCTCAAACTACTGTATTCTCAGTGTAGAATATGCAAAAAACATCAAAAAGCAACGTGTAGCTTGTAGATCTCCTGCTCCTACAATGTCAACAGCAATGGCCTTTGAGCCTACTTTCAAAGCAAAATGAACAGCTCATCACCTGCAGCTGGGTCACCTCCAACCATGTTCCTAATGCGAAGGTCGATCAACAACCAGCACAACAAACTGCTAGATCACTTGATTGGGCAAATGAAATCAAGTGCTTGTCTTCAGGTGGATTTCTGTAAGAGCACCTGCCACAAACATCCAAAAACAGCAATGACAAAAACATCCGCCTGCAAAACATGCGCCCAATCTGCAGCTATCTGAAGCTCAACTGAGGCGCTGCAAGCGGATGGTGGCCAACTCAAAGGGACGTAGCCCGTCTTTACCAAAGCCATCGTCCCAAACGCCGTTACCCACCTCTGCCAGATCCAACATCTTCCAATCCTCACATTTGAACGGGCAATAGCTGCAAACCAGCTGCCAAAGACAAGGAAAAACATATAGAATTGTGTCACAATTGACTGGTTGCGAACCTCATTCGCAGACCTGGTCACACTGTCTCCAGTATGCGTGAAAGTACGTCAAACCGTGGGAAGAGACAATCAATGACAAGGCCAAGGCCATTTGAAGGTTTCCTAAAATGCGGGGTACCCCATGTTCATCATATTCATCATCCATTATAGGATTTTCCATCATAAACCATCCAGCTATTGGAGATCACCCATGGAAACCCTCATTGATTTCAGCCAAGCTTCACCGAGCATGTCGGGCACAGAAGTTGGCCAGCGGCCCTTCTTAGCCCCTTGCCGCAAGGCATCATCGATCCACGCGGTAGAGCTGGCCGGGAGCGACCGGTCCCTGGCTTGAGTTCTCTTACTGGTGCTTAGCAGGGAATGGGGGAATGGGATGATTGTTAATATATGTTAATATATTTATTATAGATTACTGTAGATCATTCTCCCATTCCCTACCAAGCACAAGTAAGTTCTCCCAAAATACGGAAGGCATGTGTCATCAGGTGTTAAGGTTTTAGCACATGATACTCAGCACGCTAAACATCATTAAACACCTAATCTACTCAGTGTAAAGCATCGTTCCATCCAACCTCTCGGTGCCAGAAATTCTGCCAAGTGGCCCGAAGTAGCCACCCAGCACCGTGCGAATGGTTCCAGGAGACCTGAAAAGAAAAACTGGGATTCAAACATTGATGATGTTGGATGATGTTGGATTCAAAGAAGTTTCCTAAACATCCAACATCATCCAACATTGACCCCGGCAAAACCCTGCTGAACAAGCCACCCAACCCCCAGGAGCATCAGGAAAACTCCTCGGTTGGAGCGTCAAGGAACTCTGGCGATATCTTTGGTGTAAAATGGTGTAAAGGTGAGTCAAGATTGGATTCCAGAATAAAATGCCTCAAATTTGCCCTGAGAGAAAATGACATATCATGTTTGCAAGAAGTCCCGTCCAGTATATAGTACATTTGGTGTCGCTAATCCTGCATTCAAAGTCAGCTGATGTCAGCGGAGCGATGTTTACATCACTAGGACTCTGTTAGGCACCTTTGGTTCATCATGATTCATCATGTCCATACACTTCGATAGACACTTCTCGGCACAGCAAGATGATCTTCCCCAATCTTGCCGGTACTTCCCTGGACACAAAACACTCATCTTTTATCTTGATCTTCACTTCTCTGTTCAGCCCAGCTGCGCAGGTATGGATTGAGCTGCTCCGAGTATTGGGGCAATGCGCCACGGCTAAAGCACAAAGCAGAGTAGCAGCTCCCACTGCACAGCGTTGCAGGTGCTGTCTTTGAGTCTTTGCTACAATATACAGTGCCACAGTAATATACATGAGCATGTGAAGTTGAGGCTCTCCACAGAGTGACTCCTTGAGCATCTCAAAACCTGGGGAACTAGTCAGTTTGTACATAAATTCAGCCAAACATTTGTAGCACGAGGAACAGTGCATAACCGTGCCCTCTTGTTGTCAATCAATCCAAGTCATTCCTGACGCATAGATGATGATCTTTGATCCATCAGACATTTTAAAGTTCGTTTCGAAATTGCAATGGCGTCACTTCATTTTGTACTTCGGCCGTACAACTTGTCCCCTATTTTTTGTAGAGATCAAAAAGGCTGGCTATTTATCCCTGGGCCTTTGTACAGAGAACTTTCAGAGAGCAATGTGCTACCTACTTGTGCCAACAGCCAAAGCTTCGCCCTTCATACCTCACCCTAAATAGCAATAATGATAGTTCTCTCCACTGCACAAGAATATATAGAATCAGGTCTGAGACGTGCAGTCTGCGATCAATCTGCTGAAATCAAGCACAATTCAAACACATGCACTCGCAAACATAGACCAAAACAATGTAGAATCAGTTCAATATGATTACATTTGTCGTGGGGTTTGAGTAATACATGGTAATACCATTGCCGTATCACTACTGACGTGTGCATCGACCATTTCTTCCAACATCTAAACAAGTTTTTGATCCTCAACCAAAAACGTTCGCTCATATTCGCTCACAAACAAATAAGTACTGGATGTGAAATTCAAACACCCTGAGATATACATCATGATTGATGGTTTTATCCATATGTATCATCATCATGTATAGCTTCGCCAGGACCAATCCCAAGTCTGCCTAACATCCGTGAAGATTTTCAGCTCTGGCGGCAGTTCCAACATCTCTGCGAATTTCGCGCCAGAGGTCTTGGAGCCAATGCCCACGAGGCAAATAGAGGACATGTCGATACGCTTCGCCTGCAGAAACATGGTGGCAAGGTGTGCAGGGAGATGGATAAATCCTGATAAATCTTTATTGACCTTATTGAAGATGGACCAAAGATGGATGAATTTCTTGCCATTGCGAGGCGAGTAGGGAGTGTAGCGAGCGAACAAATGTGATGTATTTTGGAGTTGTCCAGGCATCTTCACGTACAGTCCAGCCCAAGCATACGACCAGAATCACCATGCATCCAGAAGAATAGCTTTCTGTTCAGTTTTCAGACTTCATTCACCCAACTGCCCTCCACACTAACTGGATCTGCGAACCTGAATAGCTGTTCGAACTTGCTGAGCAACTTCCCAGGAATTGAAGTCTCCCCAGTGGGTCAAGAAGAAAATACCCCGAGTTGAGCCGGAAGCCAGCAAGGAGGATGCTTCCTCAAGCGGCTTTCTGAGCTTCGTTTTTGACGAAAGGCCAAGCTTCGTGGACATGGAGGGCTCTTCTTCTGTATTCTTCTGTCATGGTTACGAATTCTGCATTTAAACAGGGCAAATTCTAGGTGGGACCGGGAGACCAACTTGGGGCTTTGCACGTTTTGTTCTTGTTCGTTGCATGTTCTGGCTGCACGACGCTATACACCCAACGCGAATGCAAAACTTGCAGAATTCTTGATTACTACAAGAAGGTACCAAGAGATACCACTAGATACGAGTACCTAAAGAATGCAGTTTCCCCAGGATTTGCTCGGCAGGCTGGAACAGGCACTACCTTCCAGCAAGGAAAGCAAAAATCTGGCGAGGAACCAGAGTCTCGCCACTGCGGACATCCTGCAGACTCACCACAAACTACGGGCACCATCACTATAAATATTTAAATATGTATAAATCCATCCACGGATGTGAGAAGTTCCAAAGTGTCCATTGACAAAGGCATCTGCCATTTTTCCAAACGGCTTTCTGCTCACGACAATCTGTTAATCACATGGGGCACAGTTGGTACAACATGTGTCCTGCACAGTGCAAGTCGCCAAGGCCTCCATCACTGGTTTGCCCATCTCCTGCAAGGGCCACAAGCACAAGGGTTGCGGCAATGGCTAAGACCAAACCGAAGACCGTGCTGCATGACAGCAATTTCATGCTGTTTCCATTGCCAGTTGGGACTCCTTTTGGATTGGGAGAAATCGGGAAGAAATTTGCAGAGTCTCTTGCAATTTCACATCTGCTTACTCCTTCCTGCTGGGAATGTATAGTATAGTATTTCAATGTGTTTCATTGTATTTCCATCCGCATTCGGAATGGGGGCAATTGAACACTCTGAGGCTTGAGCTCGAATCCCCCTTCCCAAACAGCATATCGTCTCCGATTTCTCCTTTAGGCCCGGTGCAGAAGCATCCGTAGACTCTTCTGGTGGCCCTTTGAAAATGTCCAGCAATGCCAAGCCCACTGCACCAGCAATTTCGAGCCAAGGCGTTTCCTGACCAGAAACGGCTGAATGTTGGGTTTGTTGATGAGACTCATTTCGTATTTGCTCCAAAGTAACCACTCAATTGTAAGTTCGACATCCAGCTGTATGACCTGCACTCACAGGCAGCGGTAGCATATTCGATCCTAGTCTATCAAACCTACATTAGAAGGACCAAATTTCTCCATTTTCCGTCATGGCTATTTCACAGTGAGCACCATCCACATGACCCACAATAATTGCAGCTGCCATATGTGTATATATATATATCATTATATATCCCATCCCCTCATACTGGTTGGTTCATAGACAGCCCCATGATGGGTTTAATAATCGCCAACAAACCAGTTACTCTATAACCCCCCAAATTGGTCCATGGTTTCATGAAACAACTTGGTCACCAAAGGGTTCATAGCACCTATTTGTTTTTGCTACATCAGAGCGCTCAAGCATGCGCAATGCGCATGCTGGAGAAGAGAAAAACATGAACAAAAACATTAACACAAAACACATAAATTTCATCAACCATATTAATACGTTTAATTAAGATAGTAGAATAATCATGAAAACATGTTCACCTTTCAACATGAAAAACTTCAGTCGATAAAATTGGGGACCACATAACCGAAGGAAAATAGAGGTCCCCCAAAAATCCGACTTGGGACACCATTTTTAAAAAAAAAACACCTATGATCAAACCATTTTGGATGGCCCCAATTTTATAGAGGTCAATTTGGAGTTAGTACCACGCACACAAATGACCTGGGTGTCCCAATTTTGTAGTGTTGTTGGGCTTGATGATATTGATGGGTTACTAACAGGTTGTGATTTTATAGGGCTGATTATGTATGTGTCTGTCAGGGTTTCAATTTTATAGATGGCCCCTGAAGGACATGTTCAAAGGATACACATGTATCCCCTATAAAATTGGAACACCCAGGTCAAATGGGTGTATTGGCAAGGGGCTGTTTTTTGGGGGTTAACCATTTCTTAAATATCGAAGAGATGAGGATATGATTGAAGAATCATGGTTCATTGATACACTATCAAATTGGCAACTGAACAAAAGCATACAAAACCGACATGTCCCTATAGAATTGGAGCCTGCTGAAATTGGGACCCGAAGGTTTGAGATAAGATTGGAGCCCATCAAAACAAGGCAAACAGGGCAGCTGAAATTGAGGGGGGACCTGTATTAAAAAAATCGTTTTATACAGCACCTAGGTGTCCCAATGATACAGGGGAAATTGGCTGGGGGATCAAAAAACATCAAGTTTCATGGTGAAATCACATCACTGTAGACCGTCAGATCCCAGTAGACCGTCAGATCCCAATATCCGCCGACCCCGGCTGACGCAAGGGGGAGCGCGCCAGGGAATAAGACAAGAGTTTGCTACCGCCAGCTACTACTACTACTACTACTACTACTCCTACTCCTACTCCTACTCCTACTCCTACTCCTACTACTACTACTGCTACTACTACTACTCCTACTAGCACTACTACTACTACTACTACTACTACTACTGCTACTGCTACTGCTACTGCTACTGCTACTGCTACTGCTACTGCTCCTGCTCCTGCTGCTGCTACTCCTACTCCTACTCCTACTCCTACTACTACTCTGTTAGCAGCAGCGACAGCAGCAGCAGCAGCAGCAGGTGAGCTGATGGGAGATTGAAAAAGCGGACAAGGTTGGGAAAAAGACATTTTTTCTAGGAATTCAGAAGGGACGTTAGGCACTTTTTCGGTGCGATTCTAGGGCCTGTTCGTCCTTCCGTGCCTTGCAGTTTTGGTGCCGGGAGGTGCTCTTGCTACTCTTCTGTTAGCAGCCGCAGCAGCAGCAGCAGGTGAGCTGATGGGAGATTGAAAAAGTGGAAAAGGTTGGGAAAAAGACATTTTCTCTAGGAATTCAGAAGGGACGTTAGGCACTTTTTCGGTGCGATTCTGTGGCATGTTCGTCCTTCCGTGCCTTGCTGTTTTGGTGCCGGGAGGTGCTCTTGCTACTCTTCTGTTAGCAGCAGCAGCAGCAGCAGGTGAGCTGATGGGAGATTGAAAAAGTGGAAAAGGTTGGGAAAAAGACATTTTTTCTAGGAATTCAGAAGGGACGTTAGGCAGTTTTTCGGTGCGATTCTAGGGCCTGTTCGTCCTTCCGTGCCTTGCTGTTTTGGTGCCGGGAGGTGCTCTTGCTACTCTTCTGTTCTGCAACATTTTTTCTAAGAATTCAGAAGGGACGTTAGGCAGTTTTTCGGTGCGATTCTAGGGCCTGTTCGTCCTTCCGTGCCTTGCTGTTTTGGTGCCGGGAGGTGCTCTTGCTACTCTTCTGTTAGCAGCAGCCGCAGTTCTAGGATTTCAGAAGGGACGTTAGGCACTTTTTCGGTGCGATTCTGTGGCCTGTTCGTCCTTCCGTGCCTTGCTGTTTTGATGCCGGGAGGTGCTCTTGCTACTCTTCTGTTAACAGCAGCAACAGCAGCAGCAGCAGCAGGTGAGCTGATGGGAGATTGAAAAAGCGGACAAGGTTGAGAAAAAGACAGAGACATTTTTTCTAGGAATTCAGAAGGGACGTTAGGCAGTTTTTCGGCGCGATTCTGTGGCCTGTTCGTCCTTCCGTGCCTTGCTGTTTTGGTGCCGGGAGGTGCTCTTGCTACTCTTCTGTTAACAGCAGCAACAGCAGCAGCAGCAACAGCAGCAGCAGCAGCAGGTGAGCTGAGCTGATGGGAAGTTGAAAAAGCGGAAAAGGTTGGGAAAAAGACATTTTTTCTCTAGGAATTCAGAAGGGACGTTAGGCAGTTTTTCGGTGCGATTCTAGGGCCTGTTCGTCCTTCCGTGCCTTGCTGTTTTGGTGCCGGGAGGTGCCTCTTCTGTTAGCAGCAGCAGGAGCAGCAGCAGCAGCAGGTGCGCTGATGGGAGATTGAAAAAGCGGAAAAAGTTGGGAAAAATACTTTTTTTCTAGGAATTCAGAAGGGACGTTAGGCACTTTTGCAGTGCTTCCGTGCCTTGCTGTTTTGGTGCCGGGAGGTGCTCTTGCTACTCTTCTGTTAGCAGCAGCAGCAGCAGGTGAGCTGATGGAAGATTGAAAAAGCGGAAAAGGTTGGGAAATAGACATTTTTTCTAGGAATTCAGAAGGGACGTTAGGCAGTTTTTCGGTGCGATTCTGTGGCCTGTTCGTCCTTCCGTGCCTTGCTGTTTTGGTGCCGGGAGGTGCTCTTGCTACTCTTCTGTTAACAGCAGCAACAGCAGCAGCAGCAGCAGCAGCTGATGGGAGATTGAAAAAGCGGAAAAGGTTGGGAAAAAAACATTTTTTCTAGAAATTCAGAAGGGATGTTAGGCAGTTTTTCGGTGCGATTCTGGGGCCTGTTTGTCCTTCCGTGCCTTGCTGTTTTGGTGCCGGGAGGTGCTCTTGCTACTCTTCTGTTAACAGCAGCAGCAGCAGCAGCAGCAGCAGCAGGTTAGCTGATGGGAGATTGAAAAAACGGAAAAGGTTGGGAAAAAGACATTTTTTCTCTAGGAATTCAGAAGGGACGTTAGGCAGTTTTTCGGTGCGATTCTAGGGCCTGTTCGTCCTTCCGTGCCTTGCAGTTTTGGTGCCGGGAGGTGCTCTTGCTACTCTTCTGTTAGCAGCAGCAGCAGCAGCAGCAGCAGGTGAGCTGATGGGAGGTTGAAAAAGTGGAAAAGGTTGGGAAAAAGACATTTTCTCTAGGAATTCAGAAGGGACGTTAGGCACTTTTTCGGTGCGATTCTGTGGCCTGTTCGTCCTTCCGTGCCTTGCTGCTTTGGTGCCGGGAGGTGCTCTTGCTACTCTTCTGTTAGCAGCAGCAGCAGCAGCAGGTGAGCTGAGCTGATGGGAAGTTGAAAAAGTGGAAAAGGTTGGGAAAAAGACATTTTTTCTAGAAATTCAGAAGGGACGTTAGGCAGTTTTTCGGTGCGATTCTAAGGCCTGTTTGTCTTTCCGTGCCTTGCTGTTTTGGTTCCGGGAGGTGCTCTTGCTACTCTTCTGTTAGCAGCAGCAGCAGCAGCAGCAGCAGCAGCAGGAGCAGCAGCAGGTGGGCTGATGGGATTGAAAAAGCGGAAAAGGTTGGGAAAAATATTTTTTTCTCGGAAATCAGAAGAGAGGTTAGGTACTTTTTCGGTGCGATTCTGTGGCCTGTTCGTCCTTCCGTGCCTTGCTGTTTTGGTGCCGGGAGGTGCTCTTGCTACTCTTCTGTTAGCAGCAGCAGCAGCAGCAGCAGCAGGTGGGCTGATGGGATTGAAAAAGCGGAAAAGGTTGGGAAAAAGACAGACATTTTTTCTAGGAATTCAGAAGGGACGTTAGGCACTTTTTCGGTGCGATTCTAGGGCCTGTTCGTCCTTCCGTGCCTTGCTGTTTTGGTGCCGGGAGGTGCTCTTGCTACTCTTCTGTTAGCAGCAGCAGCAGGTGCGCTGATGGGAGATTGAAAAAGCGGAAAAAGTTGAGAAAAAGACATTTTTTCTAGGAATTCAGAAGGGACGTTAGGCACCTTTTCGGTGCGATTCTAGGGCCTGTTCGTCCTTCCGTGCCTTGCTGTTTTGGTGCCGGGAGGTGCTCTTGCTACTCTTCTGTTAGCAGCAGCAGCAGCGGCAGCAGGTGGGCTGATGGGATTGAAAAAGCGGAAAAGGTTGGGAAAAAGACATTTTTTCTAGGAATTCAGAAGGGACGTTAGGCACTTTTTCGGTGCGATTCTGTGGCCTGTTCGTCCTTCCGTGCCTTGCTGTTTTGGTGCCGGGTGGTGCTCTTGCTACTCTTCTGTTAGCAGCAGCAGCAGCAACGGCTGTTTTGGGCGGCAGTTTTCTAAATAAATAATGACACTAGGTAAGCAGGTGAGGTTGTTTGAAAGACGAAATATGGCCCATTCGAAATGGTGGGACACGCCCAAAAGATCAGCCAACCTCGGTTGCTTGTTCCGGGGTCGGCGGCAGGGGCGGCAGCCCTTAATCCGGCCTGGCATTGCCGTACGGCAGTTCTCTCCTCTCCGTAGGAGAGAGGGGCCGCCGCCCCTGCCGATGGAGAGTCGGTACCGCCAAAAACTGTCGCGTTTTACGGTGTTTTGTGCTCTTCCCATTTTTTCCCATTTTTCGGATCTTGTGGCTCAAGATGGGTCAACATGGGCCAACATAGCCCTCAAGATGAGCCAACATAGGCCTCAAGATGGGCCAACATAGCCCCAAGATGGGTCAAGATAGCCCCAAGATGGGCCATCATAGCTCCAAGATGGGCCAACATGGCCCCAAGATGGGCCAACATAGCCCCAAGATAGGCCCACATTGCCCTCAAGATAGGCCAACATAGCCCCAAGATGGGCCAACATAGCCCCAAGATAGGCCGCCGACCATCAAAATATCGTGCGTTTTACAGTGTTTTTTTGCTGTTCCCATTTTTCGGATCTTTTGGCTCAACATGAATCAACCTGAGGCCAACATAGCCCAACATAGCCACAAGATGGGCCCACATTGCCCGCAAGATAGATCAACATAGGCCAACATAGGCCAACATAGCCACAAAATGGGCCACATAGTTGGGCCCCTGGCCGGCTGTCGCGCGTAAGCGCTTAAATAATACCCATGGGATCCATGTATGCTATATATATGTATAATACCCATGGGATCCATGTATGCTATATATATGGTAACATGGATCCCATCAATATACCCCCAATGTTAGCATATATACCAGCACCATGGATCCTATGGGATAATTATGGGATATATATATATATAATATAATATATATATATAATATATATATATATAATATATATATATATAAGATTATATAAGGCACCTTCTCCACCGCGGACGTGGCGCGCAGACTCCGCCGGCTCCGGGATTGCCATCGGCGCCGGAGCGCTACTGCGCCCGCGCCGATGCTGGCGAGCTGAGCGACCCTTGGAGGTTCCACCAGATGGATCCGCTTGGAGATGATCTTCCGGTGATTTTCGAATGGTTTTCCAATGTTTTTTCTAACTTCCTGGTATTGGTCTTCTAATGGTTGTCCTATGGTTTTCTATTGATTTACTGGTTTGGAACGGATTTTCGATGGAACTTTGATGAGGTTTAGGGATTTTCTTCATGAGTTGCAACGGACGGCAAAATCTGGGAATGCTTAGAATTAAAAAACACATACAAGATCTCAAAGAGCAAATTCAAGAATCCCCTCTGCTACCCGGACGGTAAGCTCCACTGTGTGTCTTTGACTAGCTGCGGTGCACTTTGTATTCTTGAGACCTCATAAAAAATGGCCAACATTCCACTCGCTACATTCACTTGAGTACCAAAATCCATCTACAGTACAAAGATCTATCAAGATCTATCATGATTTATCATGATCTATCATCATCTCCAAAGAAGTTGATCCAAAATATCCAAATTCTTTCGCACCCGTGCCACGTCACTTCCAGCTTTGCCCGCTGGATGGCGAAGGCAACGTGCCCGGCACGTGCAGCCCATGGGCCGCCGGCACGGCTGGCACGACTGGCACGGCCACCGGGGGCGCAACCAGCGAAGGCTGATGTTGGACTGCCATGGCGCTATGATTGAAAGGAGCTACTTGAAATTACTTAAACAAATTCTCAGAATTGTTTGCCTTTTTCATGACCAAAATGGTATTTGCTGAATTTTGCTGATCTGTAATATGCTATAATTATGTATATATATATAATTATGTATTTATTACTATACTATATCATTGTCTATTGCTGCAGGCTCATGTTCTTGATTTGCAAAGCGACATTACGTTGCTGTTTTGACTTGGACATGTCATGTAATTCATGTGGGGCGACTGCTCGCCAAGCTTGATGAGGTCACTGTGGTGTTAAATCTCCCCTTTCACATCAATCACCAACATAGCCATCATAGTCTGCTAGTCTCCTAGATAGTTCATGTAAGTTCGAGCAAATTTGATATCAGCTGATATCACCATGTATATCACCCCTTTTGCTGGTCAGATCATGTCAATGTCAGATCAGTTTGCTCAGTTGGATCCCCGTACCCTTTCGTCATCTTTCGTCATCTTTCGTCAACCAGGCCCTCAAGGAGTCAGGTCCTCTGGAGCTTCCTCCATCTCGGTCTGTGTTCCGATGGACGCACAGGGCTTGGTTTGGGAGGTCACCTGAGCGATAGAAACACTTGGTGGTTGTTCAAACATGGATGCATGTATTAAATATAGTAAATGATACTACATATAAATGTATGTGTTTCACATATGTTCCATTTGAATATGTTCACCCCAACTGAAGTTAGCCAGTACAACAAGACGAAGCCAAAGATCACACTATCAACAACCAGCTGTAACCAGCTCCTGAAAAAGGATCTCCCGGAATCTCCCGGAATCTCCCGGAATCTCCCGGAATCTCCCGGAATCTCCCGGCCTCCAGCTCACGCTGCAATTCTTCCATCGTCTCTCCCTCCACCTGGAGGATTGGAGCATGAATGTTGCAACCTGAAGCCATGATATGCCATGATATGCCATGATATGCCATGATATGCCATGATATGCCATGATATGCCATGATATGCCATGATGTGGCATGATGTGGCATGATACCTATGATACCAACAGCTGAAGTCCGTCATGTCCGTCATGTGCTTTGTAGGATCAACTTGTCAGCAGGTGAAGGGGTTGGGCGGGTCTTTGGGATCTGTTGGTAATCTCAGCCAAATCAAAATCATGAAAGTCAACAATCATCTTGCCATGTAATCATTGCTGTCACAGGCCTACACGCAATGTGACTTTCACCATCTGCAACCCTATACCAGTAACCAAGCCTCTACCCAGCTGCTAGGCTTGTTTAATCGGCCTCAGAATACGAATATGTCCAGCCAAGATCAGCCAAGGACACCTACTTCATACCCGAAAGTTTTAGAGATGCAGGATGATTCCAGGTTGAAGTTGGAAGCTACTGCTGGAATCATTCAGGGTCATCTAGAATCTAGCGCGTGAGAGAGACTCAAATCGAACGGATTCTGGACCTGGGATTTGCGAAAGTCATCTTTCTTGTTCACTGCTTCACCAGACTTACCCAGACTTGCATAGACTCACTGAGAAAACAAGCAAATTCTCAACCTACTCACATGCTGTTTTTGTCTACTACAATTAGATGCTGAAGCTATGCACAAATAATTCGAGGCAGCAATGCAGTGGGCTAAACTGGGCAGCCGATCCACATTGCCATGTCTTCGCAAAAACTGTTTATTGCTTGCTATTGTTTGACCACCTCTACATCTGGCCTGTTGTGGGATGTGGGATCGCTTTAGCAAAGGATATGTGAAACACGATATCCGTGTTTTTCCTTTTTCCTTTTTCTTAGTGCGAAGCAGCGTATAAGCACAGCGCATGCACATCACAACCACTCCAGCTCCGTGCTATGGCCCAAGCTTGCTTCTGGATCAGGTGACCTGGTGCACGGATTGCACGGGCAGTTTATGGCAGTTTGATCTCTGGATCTCGAACAGAGTCTTCCAATGCTTGGGATAGAACATTAGATTGGTGCCACAGCCTTGTAAACTGAAATGACATAATCGTGACATAATCGTGACTGTATTCTCACATTCCCAATGATGTCTATAAAGAGCAACCGCATCTGATGTGTTCATTCGTTCGATACGGATCAATCCCAAAGTCACTCGGCAGTCCGGACTGTGAGGCCACTGGCGATTCCATTCCTGGAGGTACTTGTAGAGGTGAATGCTCCTCAGGGCCACCAACAGCATACTACAGTCCCAGCGAGTTTGTTGCTGGCAAATGATGGCAAATACATCAAGGCAAACTTGGCAAACAATCCAAAAGCATCCATAGGGCCATAGGGCTCCATTGGTCCATGAGTCCAAATGAGTCCAATGGGTAATGTGTCACATGTGTCACCCTGGCATGGGATCCATGGGTCCTCTTTTCCCTCCTCCGGGGAGATAAGGCCAAGCTCAAGCTCGCCTGTGCCACACTATCGGAACAGTCCAAGTCCACAGGAGGGAAATTCACCATTGCTGACCTGCTGTGACAAAACACTCTTCTATAAAGGTAGTTACTATATCTTTCTATATCTACTGTATCTACTATGGACTATGGCAGACTGTGGATCTGCTATGGAAAGGTATGGAAATACGTCCTTTTCTGAAGCACAGCCTTCACCCAAGGTGTGCTCTTCGCTGGCTGGAAGCGGTACCTGGATACAGCGAAGCTATGCGAAGCTGCGAGGCTGGGACAAGATAGACAAGGAATAAGGATGAATAAGGTGAGTAATGATTCGGCAATGATGTGTGTGTGTGTGTTTGTGTTTTTGCAGTCAGAAGATGTAAGAAGCGAAGGACACAACTTGGCTTGGGAGGGTGATATTTGCCGAAAGCATCGTTAACCCCCAGGCCACCTTTGAAGGAATCACGTTATTTGCTTGGCTTGAAACAGCACACCAAACAAAAATGACAATAATGCAATCTTCACACACATGCACCCTCATGATCCCTCATGCACACACGAAGCTGAAAATGTTTGAAAGCCGCGCCGTCTAGCACTAGCAGTGAAAATCAAACATCTGAGCATCCAGCAGTGGCTTCCACTGGTGCTGTTGGAGGCCCTGACAGAGCTGGTTCCTTCGAACCTTTTGAGATGATATTTGCAGAGTCGGTCACTGGTCACTGTCTATTGGATCCACTGCGACCCTTTTGGACTTGCTCTTCACTGCTTCCAAATCGATGTGAAAGGAATGCCCAAAAGCATCCAAAAGCGTGAAACAAGGACTTGGAAGTCCCTCATCTGGCATGAATCACCAGGGAAAATCACATCCAAACGTGGACGAGGTGAAAACATGTGAAAATCATGGATACATTTTTTTGGCGCAGGAAATGAGGATTTGCAGTTTCGCAATTGTTGGCTGGTCCAACTGTAGCGCCAATTTCAACAGCATCCAGCCACTTAGGGTGGGTAGAGCTTGAAAATCTTCTCCTGCTACCCAGGGCACGGAGTGGGCACGTACCAGAAAGCCAGCGTGAGATCTATCTGAGCAATGGCACGTTGAGTTGTCCTATAACTATAATTATACCGGATCCAATCATATCAAATCCACAGTTCACACTGGGTCTATCAGACCTACATAGTCCTGTCATGGAAGTTGCAATTTGGTAGTGGAATATCCTTTGAGACACCACAATCGGGCAGAATGCATTTGCCGCACAATGCAAGCACGAGCCACACGGCTTTGGATCAGAGCTCATCAGAAAGGATCTGCATACGTGCTCTCCTTTTTTTGGAATCCCACATAATTATAATTGATCAATATGAATCATATGAATCTGATCATTAATGATTATCAATGATTCATGTTTCATCAATTGCTGTGAATTGCCTCGGCAATGAACATCCTGATGCTTCGAGTTTCCCAGTCCTGACATGCCTGCTCGGAGTCCAGCCCTGCAAGTGCTGTGGTCAAAGCCTTCACGTGTCCAAAGATGAGTCGCGTGTTTCCAAATGAAAAGCCGCCTGCGCTGATCACCATGGTCAAACACTGTGCCGAACAGGTCAAGGGTCCGGGACTTCGTGGGTTGAACTAAGGTTTGCTGAGCATTATAGTGTTTAAAGCGAAGGGCCACTCCGAATTTGCAATCAGAAATGGGTACTATAGATATATCTCGATATTCTTGATAAGTGTGTGGCGATAAAAGGAGCAAAAAGGCGCATCCATGGAATCCCTACTGGATGATAGTTGACATTGTCTTCTCTGTCAGGCCCTGAAGCTTTGCAGGCCACGCGGCCACTCTAGAAAATTAGTGAAGTTGCGATTGAGATAAACCTCCAGACGAGTGACCCACCATCCACCGGCCCAAATCGCACAGGGCCAAATGGTACGAATTCCATAGGTATTCGAAGTTAGGCGGCGAGATCGATTTGGCTTCCTGAGTCAGAAAGAATCAACAAAAACACTTTTAGTGCTTCACCAAAGGTCGAAATAACTCAGAAAATACTAGGTTTATGAAGGCTCTCTGGCTTCCATGCTGCAACCTGTAACTGATTGGATCATGTTTGCGTGCTTTCAGGATCTTTCAGGTACATTCTGGATCATTTTGGCAGCCTAGATACCAACAGCTTGCACAGCTCCTCATGGTAGAACTTCAGCAGTTCTCGCTCAGTCTCTTCGCCGGACAAGCCATGTGCTGCCACACCAAAGAAGTACGCAAGGTCCTCCATTGGCGCAGCAAAACAGCATTCACCGTGAAACTGGCCTGGTGACACAACGTAAACACACAAGTTTCTACTATCGATGAGGACAAAACCCTGGCAACGCACTCGTCTGTCACATCGCAATCCTGCGCTCCTTCGAGGCAGGTGCTTTCCCAAACCACTGGAAATCGTAGAAGGAAACGCCTTCTGTTTCATCGTACATAATGTTCGCACCTTTTGGATCACCATGGCACATGGTCATCATCTTGTCCGCCTGAGCATCACTGCGACCAGGCAGCTGGGAAATCATGGGAGTGGCAAATTGGGCTTGTTGTAAACATAAGAAAAAAGTACCCTAGGCCATCCCAAATCCAACTGTTCATCAGTTTCTCATCATGTTCACCATTATCAAATTTATCAATGTACATATACCATCATATACCCACATTACCGACCTTTACCGACCTACCTTACCGCCTTTGTAACCCGTTGTAACATCACATCGGCACCTGGAGCCTGGCATCGATGCCCTTGGCGGCGTGGCGCAAGACATCCTTCGGCATGCGACGCAGCTCGATCTGACGCCGCGAGAGATCCCAGAAGCATGCGCGCTCCGCCACACCTGACCTGAGCAAAGGATGATATTGATATTGTGGATTGATATTGTGGATTGGATATGATTGGATGACAACATATGGCAGACATATGGCAGTGTGTCAAAACCAATAGTATCCCTTTTTTGTTCACATCCAAATAGCTGGGATTTATGGATGTGAATAACCCACTAAAAATGGTATTAATAGGTATTGATCCATACCCATATGACAACGGATGATAATGGATGACAATCATCTTAAATTCATTTATCCATTCTTCATCCATGAAGGCCCAGGGGCCTTGGGAAGTTGGCCGTGAACCCCGGTCCACCCATCTGAACGGATCTCTCCAGTCTCAAGAGCGGTCCGCCAGTGGATCCCTTGGCTTCCGGGCTTCACAACTTCATCAGCTGGTTTTCCCCAGAAAAGAGCATGTAGCTTTGCCAGCCATTGCAGCGCCTGACGCCTCAATAAAGATCAGTAAAATTCAATGGGAAATCCATATACTCCACATATACTCTTGGCCCAGCGGGTTGCTGCATGCTCAGAGTGAATTTCAGTAGGTTTCGGAAGGTCTCCGGTTTCTGGTAGCAAGTGGAAAGTTGGACAAATTTGACAGTCGATGCCATCACTGGTCTCAAAGCCAACTCTGGCGCAGGAAAGACTGGATCACAGTGGATGTGAATTGACGGTGCATGTTTCTGTTTCAGCTGGGAGTCGTCTGCTCAGGATTTCGAGAGAAGCCTCTTCCTGGCAGCTTTGTCATGCCTGAGTTACTTCAGCCAATATATATCAATATATACTTGGAACATCTTAGAACCATTGAGAACTTGCAAGCACAAACAAAGGTCATTTTTGAGGTGCGGAAGCAGTCTTGTATAATCTTGTGCCGCTTGAAAATGAAAACCTAATGGGAGCAACCATAAACTTCATGTGGGACATGCCCTACCACTGGTGTATATCTTAGTAAGCATACAATAATGGGTTAAAATAATATATGTTAACATAATATATAAAAGTGGCTTGTGATTTTGGAAGGCCAACAAAAACAGCGGTCCGGGTCGACATCTTTTAGCCTCCAAACACCAAACTCAGCTGAGTCGCAAATGGTAAGTTCTCCATCTTCGGTGCGGTCCACCAGCAACGCCTTTGGACACAGTGCCCCAGCAGCGCAAATGCTGTCGCTGAGATTCTGCTCGTAGAAGGTGGCCTTGCAGGGCAGGGATGGGGATGGCCGATTGTCTTTAAGGACATGGCAGTCACCGTCAGGAGACGATGAGGTGTTCATACCCTCCCCCGGAGGGGATCTTGTTATGTAGAAAATCAGCTTAACATGGGTGGAAGCCGGGCTGGGGCTGTCCAATCGCAGACGCCACAGCCGCCAGAGCCTCGTTGTAATATGACATGTGGTCAACCAAGGCCAGCTCATCATCCAGTTTCTTGTGGGATCCTTCGACGCAGCGACTTGCACTGTTGCACTCAAATTTCCATTCCTCAACTGCCTAAGACATGGAAAACCCAACGCACAAGTCTGCTTCTGCGCCTACATGTACTAGGCTATTCAACCCTGAATGAAAATGAGTATGGTACATTTACATAATTTACATTTACATATTATATTTACTGCATGTGATCTTACTAGTCTGTAGTGAATTCTGTGGCAATCTGTCATGCCCTTTTTGGCTCGGTCTTTCAGAACCACTGGTGCCAGAATCACAAATGATGCCAACAAGTCACCCACAGTCTTGACCACAAAGGACACGCTGTCATCTTTGCTCTTGACTTGAACTTCATCCACGCTTCCCATGCCTGTCCAAAGCCCGAGCCTTGGTATGCAGGCTTGGATGTGGGCGGAGTGAAATTCTCATCTCACTCGAGCAGTCTTCTTCTGGACGATATGGTATGACCCTACACAATAATGGCTGCTGATTTCGGTCACTGCTTGCCTCACAAATGGCAGTCCATCCTCCTGCGAACAAGCAAACAGCCTGAACAAGTACTCCCTGGGTCTTTCTGCCGAAGGTGCAGATTCCGAGGTTTCACGCTGTCAATCTCTGTGAGCTTCCCAACACCTGCAACTTTCACAGAGCAGGGACCACAACAAAACACCATGGTGTGGCGAGTGAAGAACCATGAGCTATGACAAGGAACAATCAATCAATGAGTAAGCTTCACAAATGATGGAATCATCATAACCAACGGGTTAAGGATATGAGCACAGCACGTGTGAGTTCTTCCTTAATGCTAGCTCATCTGGAATGTCTCCAAGATTTGCGTGAGTGTGAGGGGAAGGGAAAATTGCATGACAATGAAAGACACTCCATGGTAGGCGGAGACTCATCTGCTTGAATACCCTTAAGGTCGATATTGAAAAGATCTATAGCGACGGACAATCACTTAGAACGTAAAAAAAAATCCAAAAGTTTTTTTTTGCACTTAGAACGTAGCACGAAATCAACACTTAGAACGTAGGCAAAATTTCATCACTTAGAACGTAAAACCATCACTTAGAACGTAGGGAGGCCAATTCAACACTTAGAACGTAAAACCAACACTTAGAACGTGCTAAGTGATTGTCCGTCGCTATATAAACTATTTTTTCGATTTCAAAATCAATTAAACTTCCTTATATAACACAATTAAAAATATTGCCAAAAATTGGATTTCGAAGCGGACCCTAATAATAAATTTAAACCCTTAATAAGAAAGACTATGTTTTCGATTTCAAATCAGTGAAATTTCCTTATATAACGCAATTAAAATATTGCCAAAAATTGGATTTCGAAGCGGATCCTAATAATAAATTTAAACCCTTAATAAAAAAAACAAGTTTTTTCGATTCAAAATCAATTAAATTTCCTTTTATAACGCAATTAGACTATTGCCAAAAATTAGATTTCGAAGCGGACCCTAATAAATTTAAACCTTTAATAAAACAAAACTATTTTTTTCGATTCAAAATCAATCAAATTTCCTTGTATAACGCAATTGAAATATTGCCACAAATTGGATTTCGATGCGGACCTAAATAATAAATTTAAACCCTTAATAAGAAAAACAATTTTTTTCGATTTCAATTTAAATATTGCCAAAAATTGGATTCCGAAGCGGACCCTAATAATAAATTTAAAACCTTAATTTTAAAAAAACTATTGCTTTCACTTTCGAAATCAATTGAATGTCCTTTTATAAAACGCAATTAAAATATTGCAGAAAATTGGAATTCGCAGTGGAATCGAAATTATGTCTATGTTTCCTACGGAATTAGCTGCTGAATCCAACACTTAGAACGTCAGAACCCCCAAAAAGCACCAAAGGGCATACCGTTCCAGAGATAAAAGATCGCCAATGTTTGCAAATCATATGGGCGGGAAAAGCCAAATGGTACGAAATTATGTCTATGTTTCCTACGGCATTAGCTGCTGAATCCAACACTTAGAACGTCAGAAACCCGCAAAAAACACCAAAAGGATCCAAAAGGTATAGTGTTCCAGAGATAAAAGATCGCCAATGTTTGCAAATCATATGGGAGGGAAAAGCCAAATGGTACGAAATTATGTCTATGTTTCCTACGGAATTAGCTGCTGAATCCAACACTTAGAACGTCAGAAACCCCAAAAAGCACCAAAAGGATCCAAAAGGTATAGTGTTCCAGAGATAAAAGATCGCCAATGTTTGCAAATCATTTGTGAGGGAAAAGCCAAATGGTACGAAATTATGTCTATGTTTCCTACGGAACTAGCTGCTGAATCCAACACTTAGAACGTCAGAACCCCCAAAAAGCACCAAAAGGTATAGTGTTCCAGAGGTAAAGACGCCAAGATTGGCAAATCATATGGGAGGGAAAAGCCAAATGGTACGAAATTATGTCTATGTTTCCTACGGCATTAGCTGCCGAATCCAACACTTAGAACGTCAGAACCCCCAAAAAGCACCAAAAGGCATAGTGTCCCAGAGATAAAGAACGCCAATATTTGCAAAACATATGGAAGGGAAAAGCCAAATGGTACGAAATTATGCGTCTATGTTTCCTACGGAATTAGCTGCTGAATCCAACACTTAGAACGTCAGAACCCCAAAAAGCACCAAAAGGATCCAAAAGGTATAGTGTTCCAGAGATAAAAGATCGCCAATATTTGCAAATCATATGGGAGGGAAAAGCCAAATGGTACGAAATTATGTCTATGTTTCCTACGGAATTAGCTGCTGAATCCAACACTTAGAACGTCAGAACCCCAAAAAGCACCAAAAGGATCCAAAAGGCATAGTGTTCCAGAGATAAAAGTCGCCAATGTTTGCAAATCATATAGGAGGGAAAAGCTAAATGGTACGAAATTATGTCTATGTTTCCTATGCGGAATTAGCTGCTGAATCCAACACTTAGAACGTCAGAACCCCCAAAAAGCACCAAAAAGTATAGTGTTCCAGAAGTAAAGACCGCCAAGATTGGCAAATCATATGGGAGGGAAAAGCCAAATGGTACGAAATTATGTCTATGTTTCCTACGAATTAGCTGCTGAATCCAACAATTAGAACGTCAGAACCCCCAAAAAGCACCAAAAGGTATAGTGTTCCAGAAATAAAAGATCGCCAATGTTTGCAAATCATTTGTGAGGGAAAAGCCAAATGGTACGAAATTATGCCTATGTTTCCTACGGAATTAGCTGCTGAATCCAACACTTAGAACGTCAGAACCCCCAAAAAGCACCAAAAGGTATAGTGTTCCAGAGATAAAAGATCGCCAAGATTTGCAAATCATATGGGAGGGAAAAGCCAAATGGTACGAAATTATGTCTATGTTTCCTATACGGAATTAGCTGCTGAATCCAACACTTAGAACGTCAGAACCCCAAAAAGCACCAAAAGGATCCAAAAGGTATAGTGTTCCAGAGATAAAAGTCGCCAATGTTTGCAAATCATATAGAAGGGAAAAGCTAAATGGTACGAAATTATGTCTATGTTTCCTACGGAATTAGCTGCTGAATCCAACACTTAGAACGTCAGAACCCTCAAAAAAGCACCAAAAGGTATAGTGTTCCAGAGGTAAAGACCGCCAAGATTGGCAAATCATATGGGAGGGAAAAGCCAAATGGTACGAAATTATGTCTATGTTTCCTACGGAAGTAGCTGCTGAATCCAACACTTCGAACATCAGAACTCAGAACCCCCAAAAAGCACCAAAAGGTATAGTGTTCCAGAAATAAAAGATCGCCAATGTTTGCAAATCATTTGTGAGGGAAAAGCCAAATGGTACGAAATTATGCCTATGTTTCCTACGGAATTAGCTGCTGAATCCAACACTTAGAACGTCAGAACCCCCAAAAAGCACCAAAAGGTATAGTGTTCCAAAGATAAAAGATCGCCAAGATTTGCAAATCATATGGGAGGGAAAAGCCAAATGGTACGAAATTATGTCTATGTTTCCTATACGGAATTAGCTGCTGAATCCAACACTTAGAACGTCAGAACCCCCAAAAAGCACCAAAAGGTATAGTGTTCCAGAAATAAAAGATCGCCAATGTTTGCAAATCATTTGTGAGGGAAAAGCCAAATGGTACGAAATTATGCCTATGTTTCCTACGGAATTAGCTGCTGAATCCAACACTTAGAACGTCAGAACCCGCAAAAAAAGCACCCAAAAGTATAGTGTTCCAGAAGTAAAGACCGCCAAGATTGGCAAATCATATGGGAGGGAAAAGCCAAATGGTACGAAATTATGTCTATGTTTCCTATACAGAATTAGCTGCTGAATCCAACACTTAGAACGTCAGAACCCCCAAAAAGCACCAAAAGGATCCAAAAGGTAGTGTTCCAGAGATAAAAGATCGCCAATGTTTGCAAATCATATTGGAGGGAAAAGCTAAATGGTACGAAATTATGTCTATGTTTCCTACGGAACTAGCTGCTGAATCCAACACTTAGAACGTCAGAACCCCCAAAAAGCACCCAAAAGTATAGTGTTCCAGAAATAAAAGATCGCCAATGTTTGCAAATCATTTGTGAGGGAAAAGCCAAATGGTACGAAATTATGTCTATGTTTCCTATACAGAATTAGCTGCTGAATCCAACACTTAGAACGTCAGAACCCCCAAAAAGCACCAAAAGGTAGTAGTGTTCCAGAGATAAAAGATCGCCAATATTTGCAAATCATATGGGAGGGAAAAGCCAAATGGTACGAAATTATGTCTATGTTTCCTACGGAATTAGCTGCTGAATCCAACACTTAGAACGTCAGAACCCCCAAAAAGCACCAAAAGGATCCAAAAGGTATAGTGTTCCAGAGATAAAAGATCGCCAATATTTGCAAATCATATGGGAGGGAAAAGCCAAATGGTACGAAATTATGTCTATGTTTCCTACGGAATTAGCTGCTGAATCCAACACTTAGAGATAAAAGATTTCACAAGCCTTTCCACTATCATCATTGACCTAGACACGTTCTAAGTGTTAAATTCCCCGGTACGTTCTAAGTGATGAATCTTGATATTTGAACGTTCTAAGTGGGGTACTTAGAACGTAGACGAATAATCACTTAGAACGTCCAAAAAGCGTGAAATATTCAGAAAAAAATCCAAAATACGTTCTAAGTGATTGTCCGTCACTATAAACAGTGAGAAAGCTCCTGACGCTGCATCATGCATGCAAATAGAGTTATAGATGAGCGGTGTTTGATATGGATAAGATGATTCTTGGCTCTTGTTGTGGTAAATAAAGGGTAAATATATTTGAAGCAACTTTCAAATTGGGGGTTAACCCCAGTCCTATGCATTCCACATCGGGCGACCCATGGTGACCCCAACCTTTGCT